TACTTTTATTATATTGGTTCGGTAACAATTTCTAATGACCAAAGTAAAACAAATCATTTAATATAAATTTTATCAATCCTCAAGTTATTGCAAACCGGGCTTTCAAAGGAGTTCAATATTTTTAACTAGTTTTGTTTTATTGTTGTCAAATATTAGTTTGTGGAGCATTTGAATTTCATCGCCCGTATCTGATATCTCCCAACTCAAAGATTGTAAAAAAAGAAAAGAAAGGGTCGAAAATAAAGCAAAAGGAACCTAAAATTAAAGTAGACATCAAGACAGTGACCACAGACCACAAACCACGCGGTCTGTATTTTAGAGCTCTCATAGTAGACTAGTAGTTACTCAGATGCCCCGAGATCCGGATACCTATGCAAGGGATAACGTGATTCGTTGATTCTGCCCGTATCTGATATCTCCCAACTCAAAGATTGTAAAAAAAGAAAAGAAAGGGTCGAAAATAAAGCAAAAGGAACCTAAAATTAAAGTAGACATCAAGACAGTGACCACAGACCACAAACCACGCGGTCTGTATTTTAGAGCTCTCATAGTAGACTAGTAGTTACTAAACAAAATGGGGTTTCTTTTTTGTTTAAACAAGATGGTTTGGTAATATGTACTCGGAATTATACCTATGTAATTATCATTTTAACGTTATCGACTTGAAATGTAGACAAATGTTTCAGTGCTTAAGCATATTATCGATTCGAGAACATCGTACTTAACGTAGCACATGTGGTTAATTAGAGATATCAAATTATAAGGAGGCGTGCTCTTTGCACACAGGCTCACGCTAGACTTTTTCGATAAAAAGATTCCCCTTAGTTCACACGAATTTTTCAATTTTGTAATAATAATATATTTGATATATAAGACCATTTACAATTTGATCCGTTGTATGCCACTCTCAAGTCTCAACATACAATAAACAGCTGAGAAACGTGCATTTAATGTAGAGGGGACAAAACTACATGCATGGCAAATCCTCGATCGCATATTTCAAAAGGGTTATTATCATTGTATTAACTTCTTTTTCTTCTTAAAAAAAAAAATAACGTGGGAGGGCTTCTTCATGTTAGCATCATGCGTTGCTTGTCTACTTCATAGTTCATGCTAAAATTTTTATTTTTGAAGAAAGATACATCATACATGCATACTTGATCCACAAATATAAGTATTAGACCCTACTTAGATTCACTCGAAATTATAAGGTTATGGTTTACAGATAATTGTATATGTATAGGCTCAACTACATTAACGGAATATAATGTTGACCGTTGGGTGAATTGAATATTTCTTGGCATTTTACAATAAGATATTACTGTAAGAAAAATACCCATTGCCTTATTAATTGGACAAGGTGACAAAAACTTACATCCATGTCAATGCCGCTGCAAATTTTGCAGTTCCAAAAGAATGTACATGTCATCATCACGTCATGCATACACAATGTACATACACATTTACGCAAACGCACATATGATACGTATGTGGAATTGCAATTATCAGTCCACTTATGGATCATTTATAAGTGGCGTGGCGCCTGATTGGCACTCAGAAAAAGTGTTGGAGCAATCTATTAATTTCGTAGTTAATTGCATCCCAAAGAACATTCACGTTATACAACGTAGCATAGGCTTTACGGGCCATGACTCATATTTTAAGTAGGGTGAATTTGCTATGTAACTAAACTAAACTGGAGAAATAATTTACAAAAAATAAACGAATGTAAATAAGTTATGTGTTTTATTACATGCCATTTTTTTTAGAAATAGCATGATATATTGTAAAACCACATTTGAAATCCACACTTCGAGAACCAACGAGCGAAAAATGAATCGTAATATTGTTGAAAATGCCATCAACCAGATTTGCAAATGATGGTCAATTAATGGTGTAACTATTTTAAGTAATATTTCTTCTTATTGTTTTTACCCTAATAGTTATTATTGGGGTTTATTTTTTTGTTCCAATTTTTTTTTTCTCCAAAGTTATTATTGGGTTATGAGAAAGTTTTAATAAGCGTTAGACGCTTTCAAAAGTGAATAAAGGTATAATTTGATTACCACGACACAGTCACAAGACTCACCCGCAACAAAAATTGAACAAAAGCTTTACTAACACAAAATTGAATCAAGAACGTGAACTCATCAAATACCGAAACTATCCTCTTCTTCTTCAACTGTACTACTGATTTGCCACTCTCACGAGCTTTGTCAATTTCCTGTGGCAATCAGACAGAGATCGAGATAATTCTAAAAAGACGAATGTTTTTATCTAATCTCATCATTCGTTTTAATAATGCGATTTTGGGGTTCACTATTAACCAATCTCACTCAGTTCTTTCCAGTTATTACATCAACACGTACTTGTGTTTTTTGGCGAGTGGCGAAAACCGCGTTCCGTTACAGCCATTTAGTTCATGACGCGTGGCGTGATGCCAGACAAAAATTGTTTGGCTTTAGTAAAATCCGGCCTGCTCATACCGAACCGTGATTCCGGTTAACGATCAAACCGAATTAAGAACATGTTGAAGTTGAACAGTGTAAGATGGAACAAAATTGCAAGAAACGCTGCTAAAACAGCTCAAAATTATGGACACCGATCGATTCGACCATCTACGTATTTTTAACTTTAAACTTTAATCGTAGTGTCGAAATATATAATCCAACATTATGATTACATTTTCGAGATATTTGGTAGATCATTTAGTAGTTAATGTCATCAATACGAGGCGTTCTTGCATGCATGTGTTCAAGTCTAATATCTTGAACCGATGATATGTATATTGTACGATCCAAATAAAAGTTGACATGTAAAATGAAAATCTAACTTGTTAGTTCTCGTCACCCAAAACAAAAGAAAATAAAAATCTTGTTTCGAAGACCTAACCTCCTTTTATAAAAAAAATATTTGACTTTTTCGCAACAAATTGAAGGAAATGTATGATAGTAACTAAAGTGAGATTATCTAAAATATTTTTAGTATACCACATTGCTATCAGTGCAGTTTAAGTTAATTATATTCACATCAGTAAAAGAAGGCGTAGCACATGGCAGATAATACATCTCTATCTTATAGATCGCCATAATTAAAAAAATGATGGTCGAGCCACTTTTTATCTATGTTCAAAATCTCGCTTCTCATTACCGTTCGGTCGGACAGCGATAAGCGATTTTTGAAAAAACTGCTAATAATTCGGGGATTAACCGGGGCAAAATTTTAGGTTTATTTTAATATATTTTAAAAATTATAATTATATAAAACATTAATAATACAAAAGATGATACAAAACTTTTAACATTTTATTTTTTCTAATTCACAAACATTTTTAATACAAAAAATAACAGTTCCATTCATAAATATTACAAAAGAGATATTATCTTGATCATATTAAAACATACAAAAGATATATAAAAGCTAAATAAAAGATGGTAATAGATAATGTGAGCTCAATTTCTAAAAATATGGACCTCAATATCAAATTCAAAAATTCTACCCAAACGGTTTTACAATTTCTCGGACGGTTATCGGAATTTCACGGTTAAACCAGTCAAACCACGGTTGACCGGTTTTTGACACTGATTTCACGTATCGCTACGGTTCTCTCCCGGTTTAGGATAAACCGCCGGTTTATCGTCCCTTATCGCCGAGATTTGGAACATAGCTTTTTATTAAGAGAACCAAGCATTCGTCATCAGACAACCAACGACTCCTATACAAAGTTACTATAAATGGATCTTACTGGAGTCCTTTAATAGTTGTTGGTCATCAGTTACACACAGTTATTATGCATAGATTCACTCTAGTATCGTAGTGTTGTTGGTCATCACTTGATGTAGCCTTTATTTGGTCAAAGTTAAACTCAGAACAGACTGTAAATAATAATAGCTTTTGACTATCGACAACTGCAACTAAATCATAGCATTATTGCATTTGCATGCATTCATATCGTCTTCCATACATTAAAATGTAAAGAGCACTTTTTATTTTCATTGAACTCCACGACATGCAGGTCTGAAAATATGTTTCCCAACAAAATTGTTATAATGCTAGTTCATATTTTGTCACACCAAAATTCAAGGAAAATATATATCCGCATGTATTATAGTTTTATTTTGGGTAAATCTTATTCAATAATGCATACATCGTTTTTTTAAAACCAATATCAAAATAAGATGAATGAGTCGTTCGACAAAATGATGTACTATAAGTCTATAACATACCATCAACAATAGTAATTAACTTTGAAATGCAGAATTGCAGACAAGTGAAGGTATTGATTAGTTGTAAGCTGTAACCATTAGGCTAGAAGACAAAAGAATATGCAGAGAGACATATTGAGCATTACCATTAATATTTTTGTTTTCTTACCGTAGAAAAAACTACTAAAAATAGCTTATACCATTTCATTGCTCTTTAATTTTGGACGGTTAATTATTGAGCATTACCATTAATATTTTTGTTTTCTTACTGCAGAAAAAGCTACTAAAAATAGCTTATACCATTTCATTGCTCTTTAATTTTGGACGGTTAAATTAGATATCGGCATAAAAACCAAAATCGGTCTGAAAACGCGTTACCAATCCAGCATATAAACTGCTAAAATAGTAAAAAAAATTAGAAAAAAGTCCCACTTCATTTTGTTTTTTTCTTGCTTCTAAAATCTACTCTTGTCACTCTCTTTCTGCTGTCCCTTTTTCACTCCACTCTTTATATTATCCTTCGTCAATTTTTCTCCTTCTTCCAAATCTACTGTCATCATTTTATTTATCTATTCACAAAAATATACACACATAAATAAATAACCAATAAACCTTTTGAAGTTTTAGATTTAATATTTAATTGCGTAGGTTTTAGTATGTCGACAAAAATATAATTGGTGTAGACTTTTTGGCTTCTATATATATAGACCATATATCGACACATTCGTCTCACAAACCCAACAAGCCCACCAATCTCTTCTCTGCTCTATATCTTTCTCTCACTAACAACCAAAAATGCTCAAACCGTTGCTTCTTCTCCAATCGTTCTTCTTCTTCCTCTTCAATGTAAGCCTAATCTTATGAATCGTCTATTTCTTCGTCGGAAGTCGGAATTATACTCTTTGTCGAATTTGATTCGACGGTTTTTGTTTATTCGCGTACTGATTCTTCTCCGATTTGTTTGATTGTTAGTTGATTGATGAATTTGCTGTTTGATTTTGTTATTGTTGTTGTTGAATCAATGTGGATTTTGGGGCAATGCAGGTTGTTTTCGTCGGAGGACGGCGAATTGGCGGCGGTTTCTCGGCGGAGGAGAATCCGTTCACTCCTAAAGCGTCTCTGGTTCGTTACTGGAACAAGGAGATCCGTAGCCAATCTCTCAGATCGGAGTTTCTAATCTCCAAGGCTTCGCCGCTAAACGCCGTCGACTCGGCGACTTTCGCAAAACTCGCCGCCCAGAACTCGCTCCCGACTCGTCTCCCCGATTTCTGCTCCGCCGCGAACCTCTTCTGTTTCCCGGATTTGAGCCCGAGTCTCGAGAAGCACAGCGACGACGTCAAGTTCTCCGTCTACGACCAGAAAAACTTCACCAACTACGGCAATGCCAAACCGCTCCCGACTCGTCTCCCCGATTTCTGCTCCGCCGCGAACCTCTTCTGTTTCCCGGATTTGAGCCCGAGTCTCGAGAAGCACAGCGACGACGTCAAGTTCTCCGTCTACGACCAGAAAAACTTCACCAACTACGGCAATGCCAAACCCGGCGGCGCCGACTCGTTCAAAACTTACTCGAAAGACGGAAATGTCGTCACCGATTCGTTCCGGAGGTACAGCCGTAACTCGGAGGCTCACGACGATAAATTCACCGTTTACGCCGACAGCAGCAACGTCGTCGAGGAAAACTTCAATTCCTACGGAACTTTCGGGACCGGCGGCGTCGGCGAATTCACAAACTACCAGAACAACGTTAACAACCCGACGAGCCGATTCACGGCGTATTCCGACGGCGGTCTCGGTCGCACTCAGACATTCAAGACATACACGAAAGACGCCAACGCCGGTAACGGCCAATCGTTCACCAGCTACGGCAAAAACGGAAACGGATTACCCAACGAATTCTCCTCCTACGGCGAATCCTCTAACGTAATCGGCTCCGGTTTCTCCAATTACGGCGAGAAAACAAACGTCGCCAACGACAGCTTCACCAGCTACGGAACCGACGGCAATGTCCCGCAGAACAACTTCAAAAACTACGGCGATTCCGGTAGCAACTCCGACGACACCTTCGCGAATTACAGAGACAAGGCCAACGTCGGCGACGATTCGTTCTCCTCCTACTCCAAAGACTCGAGCAACAGCAAGGTCAATTTCGTAAATTACGGCAAATCCTTCAATCCCGGATCGGAAACTTTCACCGGTTACGGCAAAGGAGCTATCGGAAACATAATCGGATTCAAAATCTACACTCCAAACTCGACTTTCAAAGAATACGCCTCCAAAAAGGGGGCCAGCTTCGCCAAATACAACGTCTCTTCCACTTCCGCCACCACCGCCGGCGATGGCAAAACCGTTAATAAGTGGATCGAGCCGGGCAAATTCTTCAGAGAATCGACGCTCAAAGAAGGAACAGTGATTCCGATGCCTGACATTAAGGATAAAATGCCTAAAAGGTCGTTTTTACCCCGGACCATAATCTCGAAACTACCCTTCACCACATCCAAAATCGGAGAGATCAACAGAATTTTCCACGCCGGAGAGAACTCGTCGATGGGGCACATAATCACCGACGCGGTGACCGAGTGCGAGAGGCCCGCGAGCGCCGGTGAGACGAAGCGGTGCGTCGGATCGGCGGAGGACATGATTGATTTCGCAACGTCGGTGCTCGGTCGCAGCGTGGTGGTCCGGACGACGGAGAACACGGCCGGGTCAAAGCAAAAGGTGATGATCGGTAAAGTCAACGGAATCAACGGCGGGAAAATAACGAAAGCGGTTTCGTGTCATCAGAGTCTGTACCCGTATCTACTGTACTACTGCCACTCGGTACCTAAGGTTCGGGTCTACGAAGCTGATATTCTGGAGTTGAACAGTAAGACCAAGATCAACCACGGAATCGCCATCTGTCACATTGACACGTCATCTTGGGGTCCGAACCACGGAGCTTTCTTAGCTCTCGGGTCGAAACCGGGTCGGATCGAGGTTTGTCACTGGATATTTGAGAACGACATGAACTGGGCTATCGCCGATTAAAAACGCTAAAGATCGGAGGTTCGATCTGCGTCTGCGTCTGCGTCTACGTCTGGATTTATCTTCTTTTTTTTTCTTCTAAATATTATTATCAATATCGCTGAGATTAAAAATAGAGGAATGTTAATTTTCTGTCTGTTGTTATTATATGTTTTTCAAGTTTTTTCAGTAACAGTAAAGGCTTGTTACTGATTTGTGGCGGTAAGGAATAATTTTTAAAAAAAGAAGAAGATATTTCAGTGAATGTGAATGTCTGTTTGATGCAATTTATGATTATGGTTTTATGTCTGGTTTGGTTGGTTGGATATTTAATTTATCTATAGGGATTATGATATGTATCATGTGCATATAAAATAAGGTGAGAAATAATATAAGAAGATGGAGACAGCGATTGTGTTTCAATACATGTGCTAAGTTATGTCCACAGGATGTAGGCGTGTAGAAAGATGAGGTGGACTTTATGTGCCACCCAATTTTTATAACCATTTAATTTTATATTAAAATATTTAAAATCATCTATGGAGAAACAAATAAAAATAAAGATATGGAGAGTCACGAGCTGGGAAACTTTCAATGGGACAAATACGTAATGAGGGTAATACACTTGGCGTTGTGGCTGCTTCGAACATTTTTAATATGAGAATTTTTTTTGTTCGTGTTTGTTTTTATTTTCTTGGGAGTTTTCGGGAGCCGACATTACGCGTTAATAATAATATTTATCATTTTGTGTCTCGTGAGATTAGTTTGTTTGAGTAGTTGAAATTAGTGAATCCGTGAGCCTCTTTCCAAACATTCGATAATATAAATTAATTATCTGTGGATCCTGACAGTGTTTAGTTGCGTTTTTGAATGGATCAACTTATAATGTATTTGTTGGTAACAATGTTCTGCAAAGAAAAAAATATTTGAGTGATTCTAAAACGTTTGTCATATATTCTCGTCGGCAGTAGAAAGAGAGGCAAAAGCTATGCGATCACATGTAATTCGCGCAAAAATAAAGAGCACGTACTATTCATAATCTTTGGTAGAGTTTAGCTCATGACCTTTCAAAATAATATATATCCTGTTCATATATTTTCGGCTATATCGAATAATTAAGTGTTACTTATTTGTCAATAGGTGGTTTCAGATTGTGTAAACTACTATATGCCAAAAGTCCACAATACTCCAAAAATAGAAAAGCTTGTCTATAATAACATGAAATCCCGCAAAAACAAAACACACACCAAACTTTCTTAGTGTATGCAAAGACCATTGATTGTAAAGTCTCCAACACATAAACATGTGTCACACTTTTGACTATTTTGTAGTTAGACCTACTTCCATTTAATTATATCATTATCATACGTAATTTCTCTTATACATAAACTTAAATGTCGAAGACAAATCAGCATGTGGTCAACTTAATTTCCTCCCTGATCATGGAGCAAATAATGGATTTTGCATAATCATTTGTTGAAAACACACACTCCTAGAGTCCTAGTTAATTAACTTGTTGCATTGCTATCTTTTCTTTTTTGACTTCCACTATTTGCTTTGTTTTCTCTTTATATCAGCTTTATTTTAGTACATAAATAAAGCAGACATCAAATGTCACCTAACTTATATTTAAAAGTCACACAATAACAGAGAATTCTGTTCTTTTTTTTTTTTTTTTTTTTTTTCCGATCTTCAAGCGAAGATGCAAGAAAATAACAATTATAAAAAAGATTGTGGGTTCTTCTAGTGCATAAATGCATCACTTTCAATTACCAACTGACCTATTTAGTATGTACATTTTCTAATTTATATTTTTGGTTGCTTTTTTCCCCTTAAATCTCGCACCATAGAAGGATCATAATTATTTGAATAATATCTTTAAATCTATCACGTGGTTTTCATTCCAAAATAAAAAGTGAACAGAATAAATATTCTACTATCATTGTACGATATTTTGTTTCTACTGAAATCACAAAGAAACACAATAACATCTTCTTGTTTGGTTAACGTGATACGTATTTACAAGCTCACGGTTTTGTCAAAGATGTTTACGACAATGTATCAGAGAAGAGTAAGGGCCTGATTGGTTGTGGCTGTGGCTGTAACTTTACTTTTTTTGCTGTAGAATTAATGCTGTAGAAATTTTGGCTGTGATTCTAGATTTTAGTGCTGTAAGATTTTTTATTGTAGATTGTGTCATTAAATATAGCATTAAAACAAAAAAGTTAAGATATAGAAATAATAGATTAAAAAATAAATGTTGAAAGATTAATAAGGAAAGAGAAAAAAGAAAATTCTAAGAGCACTTAATTTGGTGCTCTAGAAAAATTGATTTCCAAAGCCACGGAACTTCCATAAATAAAAAAAATTGCTCTGTGTTTCAAAAATGGAAAGAGATAGAATGAGAGCGTGATTGGTAATTTTGTATTGCTGTAGAGAGATTTAGGGCTGTGCAGAGCAACCACAGCCCTTACCAATCATCCCCTAAAAGAAGTTTGACATCTCTGCGTGTGATCAGAGAAGACCCACCAATATCTTTCTCCATTGAAGTGTCTACCTATTTCAACTAACTTAGTCCAAATCCATTATTGGGGAAGTAGGATGCTGTTTTTATGACTGTGAAAAATCTATGAAGGCTATAAATGCATTTCAAGTGTTGTAAGATCAAACTCAGACTTGAATACAAAGGTTCTGCGTGTTGTCCTTTGCAGAGTTTTCACTTCATTCATTTTGGATCTCTCTATACTAAATGTGTTAAATTCTGTTTCTTGTTGGTGGATATAATCAAAGACTAAATGCCAACATTCCCATGTGGATTCACTCTGTTTCATCTACTCATCAGTTATAGCTCCTTTTGAAAATTCCAATCCGAATCTTGATTCTTGAGTTACTTGAATAAGAAGTTCCAAATGCTCTATACAAACCTCCTAAAACTAAACATGCATATTTTCAAGAATCGAAACACAAACATGATAGTTGTTAGCAAATCGTGTAATTTAACATTTAACATTTTTTTATATAATTGATTCACTCAACATTAACAAGATTTGTCTCCATAAGCAAATCAACAATATGCACATACCTACGTTTACCAAACTTACCAGTTCCCGGTTAAACAAGAATCTAACCGACCCGGTTTTTAATGTAAGAGAGAGCCAGAAGCTAGCCGGTTACCAATTCCCGGTTGACCAAGATGCTAACCGGGTCAATGGAGAAATCGGTCTAATTTGTAATATCTATGACGGATAAGGGCTAATCTGCAGTATGGGCCGAACTATGGGCTTGTGATGGATCAAACCAATTTGTGATCCGACCCGACCCGAAGTTAAACCCCGACCTTCGTAAATCGCAAAATGTCGCCGAAGTTTTTGAGAATCAGAGAGAGAGAGAGAGTAAACATGGCGGCCAACGGCGTGAGAAGGGCTCTTCAGTTATCGTCATCGTCCGGGAGAATACTCTTCGGTCGTTCGTCAGCGGCATCATCTGCTTCGAAGTTCGGAAAATCAGCAGGAATTGCTTTCGAGAATGGATCATCAGCTTCATCTCGCTCCTCACTTCGCAGACTCACATCCTCCAGGTTAGCTCCCGAATCTAGGAACTGAGAGTATTTCGTTAGGTAATTCACTCAATAGGCGAATAGATCTGTATTCAATGGCTACGGTAGTTAGTTGATTATGCAATTAGGCTTTATTTATCTCTAAATCATATTCCAATTTTTTCTAGCTGATCGATTAGGTTTGTAAATTCTCGCACGAAATGATAGTAATTTGGTGAAATTGTGTTCTCAGGATCCCTGTGGAGCTGAGTGCAGGGATTTCGCTTATACCTTTACATAGTGTCACTGCCTCAGCGTTGCTCACTTCATTGCTATCTTTGAGCAATCAAAGCTGGGGTTGCTTATCAGAAGGTACTTACTCAATTGTGTTCATGATCTTCCTCTGCGTTGTCTTCACCACACTGGTTTGATTTGCCTCTCTGGTCCAATGAGTTTGATTTCACAAGCCTCTTTAATCTCGTTTCGTTACTGTTCATGGTTGAAAATGAGGGAAGATTGAATCATCAGTATGTTTAGAATTGGAGCCGATTCTGCTGCATTCTGTTTCCATACAAGCAGTAAATGTGATCTCAATTGGTAAAATATGATTCCATATAGGATCTGCTTAACATGAGGGCATTGAGTTTGAATGGATGGTTCTTGATGATACTATAGATCCATTGGAGGACCTATTACTGTCTATTTGTCTTTTGCTTTGCATATTTTACTACTTGATGATGTCTCGATTCATATCTTTGAAGCATTGAACCAGCGGGCTAGATGGTCCAAAGTGACTAATCAATGTTTTGCATTTGATATTTTGCAGGGTTTGCAACAACACTATAACATGGCCTGCAAGTTTTAATTTCCAGGTGGGACTATTACTTGTCACATCCCAAGAAACTTTGTTTCATTTCATCGGCGCTTTTGCAGTTTCTCCAAGAGGGTTTAAGATACAAGAGTAGCGAAAGAAACACAAACCCTTGCTTTCTTCTAAAGGCTCCTTTCTTCTGCTTATGTATACAATTGTTATCTTCAATTGATGATTTCATTACCTTAACACTTCTTCCTGGAAATAAACTACTCATTTTGCTAAAAAAAAATGTTTTTCCATTACTAAAAATATTGTGCAGCGACCAAATAGCGATTTAAACCGTTTACCATTTACTCCAACTATACTCAGTACTAACCACCAAATCAAGTATGTTAGAGGTATAGTCATAATATTATGGAGATTTGGTTAGTATAACTGGCTGATTTGTTCCTCAATTTGGCTTATTACACATCAAAATGAAACAACAACTCTGAGATAATTTACCACATCAAGTGGCCTGACTCATCGTCGCATTCAATTCCTGTTATAGCAAATGATCACGGATATATAATAAGGAGATAAATCCAAATAGAATAATCATGATACAGATCTACCAGCAATTTGACCGTTGCAACATTCCAAAAAAGCCATACCTTTTGTTTATTTTTTCAAAAAGTTTACATTTTTATTTTCATTTTCCTTTTCCCCTTCTTCTTCTACTACTAACCGTTGGCTCCCTCACAACTGCAAATCCTTTGATCGATACCAAGTTCTCAAATTTCTGAAATTGCTCGTTCTTGAACCAAATCTCAACGAAAAATGGCGGCTTTAGCTCCCGGAATCCTCCAAAAGCTAATCGAAGGCATGAAAACAGGAACCAAACCGACGAGAGAGCACCGGAGATCTATGTTACAGGTCACTGATATCGTCCCAATCGATCTCGACGAGAAGAATCTAGTTCCCCAGAAAGGGTTTCTCCTCAAAGTCACCGATTCCTCTCACTCAATCTACGTCACACTCCCGTCGGAGCAAGACGACGTCGTGCTGAGCAACGAAATGCAGCTGGGTCAGTTTATCTACGTCGATCGTCTCGAGCACGGATCACCTGTTCCAATCATCAGAGGCGCAAATCCAATCCCTGGACGGCACCCGTTGCTCGGGACGCCGGAGCCGTTGATGGGTTTGAAAGGAAGAGCCGAACAAGAAACCGGGTCGAAGCGGAGAAGAGGATCCTGGGGGCAAAACGCCGACTTTGCGTCTCCGTTTGTTCTGAAACCAATGCCGTTGGATTTCGACCGGGCCACGCCGGCGAAGAGGACGGCTTCAGCTAGAATCGCAGCGTCTCCGATCAGAAGAGGAGGCGGCGTGAGTTGCTCTTACGGTGGAGGGCTTTTGGCGAAAATGGAAGGAGAGAGTCCGGCGATGCTGAGGAAGAGCTGTGCTGTTCCGTCTGCTTCAAAGTTTCCGAGAAGTACAAGTGTCTGTGATAGAGAGGCAAAGAGGATCAACACATCAGCTTCTCTTTTTAGTCCTTTCAAATCCTTTATAGGTACACATTTGTTGTTCTTCGTTGCACTTTACATTCTATTTTGATCAAGAAAGAGCTTGTTTCTTGATTGCTGCTCTCGCCATTTGCAGAGGCTCAAGAAAATATTGTTCCTTTGTCCACCTCGAAGAAGACGGCTTCTTTAAGACAGGAGTCTCACCCTATTAAGCTGATCAAACCCTTGAAAGATACCAATCTACCAGGAAGGCTCAACACACTAAGCAAGGTAATTCAAAAACTCAATTTGCTTACTCAAAGTTCCATTATTGTAGCTTAGTAACTCAATCTTCTTTGGTGTTACTTTGGTGCTACAGGAAGCAACTCAGCTTCGAGAAACAGCTCAGAAGATTGCTCTTCAGGCATTGCGAGAAGCTACAGCCACCGAAACTGTCGTTCGTCATCTCAAGTAAATATATATACTAAGATCCTCTTTTGTATGCTTTTTCAATAGGATTTGAGTGTGAGTGTGATGTGTTGATATGGTTTTCTTGGGACAGGACGTTTGGAAATCTGACCAAATCAGCAAAAGCTGATTGCCCTGCAGGTTGCTTTGAGAAATTCATGGAGTTTCACCACCAGATGGCACTTACCAAAACCGAAATCACATCCATTGAAGCAGCTGTTTCCGATGCTGAAAATCAGAAACCGAGAGAGGAAGATGGTTCGCCGATCCTCCAAGAAATCTCGCATAACTCTATCGACCAGACGAAAAACAGATCAAAGAGGAGGATTGTTCTGAAGCAGCAGCAGAGTGAAGTGAAGACAACGAGATCAAACGATGAGAACAAGAACCCTCCTTCAAGCGGGATAAGCAACACCTTAAGGCTAACGAAAGAGATCGAGGACGAAGCTGCAAACTGGTTCATGGAGTTCATCGAAACGGCTCTGGACAAAGGCATGAAGAAATCAAGAGGCCCTGATGATGCAGACGTCAAGAAGGTTCCACAATCACTGATCCTCAGCGTTTTAAACTGGATTGAAAGTGAACAGAGAGTCCATCCAAAAGCATCAAAGATCACCAGAAAGCTCAGAATCAAATTGAAGAACCCTTAATACACGTTGTAGCTTTTTTTTTCTGCTTTCATTGTATTAACAAGAGTTTTACTGAAGTAAAAAGAAAAAACAAACGATTCACAAATAAATGAAGCTTAAAGAATTACAAATACAAAAGCTTTGGTAGAATGAGAATCAGATGACCCAGAACCAAGCCACAACAGACCCTGAGGCCAAACCAATAACCAAGAACAGCACCATGACGATACCTGCAGTCTCAGAGTGTTGCAGCTGAACAGACTTCGGAGCAAGAATCATCAACACGCTCGTCAAGTAACCATTCGTGAGTCCCAACAGGCAAGTCAGTATCGTCACAGGAATCTCAGTCCTGAGAAACATTGGACCGTGCAAGCAACCCCAGAAGAGAGGGTAAAACAAAAGCCTCGCAATACAACCACCAACAGCGATCTTCTCGTCCTGCACCATGTAAAGAGCGGTCAACGACTTCCCAACCAAGTCAAACACGTTGTACGCCGCAATGAGCAGCACGGAGTACCAATCTCCGAGCAGCTCAGAGTGAACATCCTCAGTGATGTACCCAGGGAATATCGACAACGTCACAACGTATATGAGGATGATCCCGAATCCGTGAGATTTGACTCTCTTCACGATCTGCCAGAGCGTTTTCCTCCACACAGGTCCGGTTAAAGAACCTCCTCCTCTCTCTTGACTCTCTTTGATCAAAGCTTCCTTCTTCCGCTCCTCGTGGTACTTGATCACCGGAAGCTTATGCGCTACGTTGTAGAACACAGCACAGAGAACAACGACGACAATCCCAACGGAGAAGTAGAGATTCGCGCTTTTTCTCAACCCGTTTGGATCTTGTGGATACACAGCTTTCGTCAATATCCTCAATAGTGAAACAAGAACACCTACAATTCCAAAATTCCGAAAAAAATTTAACAAACAGCAAACGAAATCATTCTCATTTCCGGCGAAGATGAAGAAAGTTACCGGAGCCAGCAGTTCCGGCGACGACAGCTTGCATGTACCGCTCAGGCATTTCACCAGCGACGCCGATTAGACCTCCCTGCATAAGCGCGTCGGCGAATCCGGCGAGCCCGACGGCGGCGGAGGTGATGTCGAATCCGGCGTATAAACCGACTTGTCCCTTGACGTAGACGAGATCCAGAACGGGGACGACGAGCAAGGAGATCACGAAGAGGAAGAGTCCGAGGTTGATCCTGAAGCTGGCGAGGCTCTTATGCGCGTAGAAGACGATGATGACGAGGAGGCAGACGAGTCCGACGAGCATGTAGACGACGGCGAAGATCCGATCGACGGAGGTGGATGGGTAGAGGTAGGAGAAGTAATCGACGGCGGTGATGAAGGAGTTCCATGGGAGGAGAAAGCCGACGCCGAGGGTGAAGTAGATGATGTAGGCCAAGTGGAAGGAATCGGAAGGGGTTTTGGTGGTTGATGATGATGATTCGTGGTGAGAATTGAGGAGGAGAGAAGTCTCCGGTCCTGGTTCCGGGTCGGTTACGATATCGGCGGGATCTCCGGCGGAGCCCATTCGAATTTTGGGGATTTTTTTTTTTTTGGAAATTGGTTGACTAGTGGAAGTTAGTGCGTAACCGTAAATGGAAGCGAAACGGTGCGGTTTTGTCACTTTGGGAAATCATGATACGATGTCGTTTACGTTGTTAAGCAATTATTGGTTGTTGGAGGATAGAGTTCTTTAGACTTGACGCATTATTGGATCATCTACTTGGTTTATATATTTTGTTTTTTTTTGTTAAGATGGTTGCATCGTGCATTTCTTGAATATTATTATTGTCTTGTATTATTTTTTTTAGATGATATTGAAAGTTAAGTCTCAAACATGACTTGCATGTTCAACACAAGGTGTATGAAGATACAAACTATCACGAGTCTATTATATTAGATGCAACTTACTCATATATTGATACACTGTTGTAGACTCTGCTATACCTACAAAAGATCTTGGCATATTCTGCCAAAACTATATGGCTTAATACCATGATAAATTTGTTGTAGATGACTTAAGATCTGATAATGTATTGTAACATGATCTTTTTTTAAGCAAGCAGGAAGAATGTTTTGGGACAATATACTTATTGATAAATAAGGTTTACAATCATTTGGCCAAAGTCTAATAAAGTTTGGCCAAATCATGGAGCTGCTAGTGTTCACACCTGTAATCACAGGGGAATATATGCTCTCTAGTTCAGCTGTATGAGGAGAAGCAGCATCAGCTTATGTTAATGTTTGTAACAGATTACTGGGAGTTATATATATACACTTGTAATTATTTATTGACACAGTTAACAAAACCCTAGACATAAGAATATTCGTTTATATTGGTTTGTTCTCTATTCACTATTGAGATTTTGATTTTGATTTTTTTTTTTTTTTTATTGTTTTCCACCTACGTTTTCACACAAATAAACCTTTGCAAAATCTGTCAAATATCTTCAGTTAATTTCTTACACAATGCACTTTTTGTAGAGTCTGCCAATACCTATAATCAAATTCTTCAAATAAGAATCTCTACCATATGGGAGAATATTGTTGATCTTTCTCTTCTTTAACTCTGAATTCTAAAACTAGGGTTTATCAATTTTGGGGTCTTGATTTAATTTTTCAGGTTCAGGTGATCCGATTGTTGGATTTTGATGTCATAGGATATCTTTTATGTGTTCTCTATCATTTGATGCACAATTAATGCTAGTTTTAGACTTGATCACTCATAACCTAGAAATTGTTTTTTTTTTTTATGCTGGGAAAGTGTTTGTGAAAATGTTTTTTTGTTGTTGTTGCTGACTTGTAAATATCATATAAAATGAAAAGTTTGGATCTTACAAAAGCTCGATCCCTAATCCGGTAATCCCTGTACATAATACCTTGGCAAAAAAAAAAGTAAAAAACAAGGTAACAGATGATTTTGAATCTGATCACTAAGTTTACAACTCAGCTAAGCCAAAGTAACACTAAGTTCACCAAGTTGCCGAAGCCTTTCTTCTTCCTTCTTGCTGCTGTGATTAAGTTAACAATTTCTTTGAGCATAGTTACTGCTGGAACAAAGTGCTGACTATAAAACCAGTTGTTCCTTTGCATCCACACTGCATAGATTGTAGCATGAGCTACTAATTAACTTCGGTATAATGAATTTCCATATTCACTGCACAGAAACCACATCCTGTTGAAATGTTCATACCCCAGGCTGCAAGTCTGTTCCTCGTTGGTAAGCGGTCAAGCTTCGTTGCTCCTTTGAACCACACCAGATTGTACCAGTCTTTCTCCTCCACCCTTTGGTCTAATAGCTTCCCATGACAACTTTGAAGAGAAACCGTTACACTTTACTCCTTCAACAGTGCAAGAACAAGAGTCCTTGAGATTTGATGATCTTGGGTAATGAGTGGTGGTTAAACGCAAATGGAGAGTGACCGCTTCTTCTGATCTTGGATCTGTAAGTTTCCAACCATTCACATCAGTTGCATCTATACCACCGCTGCATTGATAGTTATACGTGGTCCCTCCTGACCCAAGAAACTCGCATCTTGACCATTCCCTAGCATTTCACAAACCTCACTGCTAAGCTTCTTAGTTTGTGAATATGTTTAGCAAAGTTTCAAAAATGAGCATGTCATACTTAGACGATGGTACTTGAGTCTAATCTTTTATTAATCTTTTGGTTGCAAATGTAAGTTTACCCTAATCAAAAGTTTAGTGAAAGGATTAATCTTATTCGAAATGAACTATATCTTGTGTGCGTGATCCACGCTTTAAGAATGATTTTGATTGTAAGTCGTCGCATCATCAACTTACAAGATAGTCATCCTGATAAATTTGCCTAGCACAGTATTCATAAATATCATCATCCTTAATTAAGTTTCTTGTTTGCTTTATTCGTTTTGCATTCCTTTCTCTTGATTAGATTTGTTTATCAAATCGCATTTATATATCAGTAAGTTTGAGAAATCTCTCATCCCATCAGTAATTTAGCTTAGGTTGTTCCTGATATGTATTTAGTGTATTCTTCCACAATATCTCCTTGTGGATTCGACCCTAATACTACTCCGATTAATGATTAATGACACTGCACTAACTAAGAACCAGGATCTTTGCAGATCGCCTATGTATTGCCCTTTAACTAAAACAAAAATCATAAGAGGCTACTCTTGATCAAACTTGTAAGATCAAACTTGATTTTTGTAATTATTATTTTGAAGATTGTATAAGCTTTTGATTTATATGATTAAACTTATTCAAATAGAACCAATTTTTTTATTGTCTCGCCCAAATACATAATAGATAATATCAAAAGACAATTGACAACAATGAACTTAAAAAAACAAATGTAGAAAACAGCGTCATAAACTTAAAAAAAAAAAAGAAATGTAGAAAACACAAATTCAAATGATATTAATTAGGAGCACAAACTTCAGGCGAGACAATCCCTCGGACTAAGGGCTATTGGTGACGTTAGGAGAGCAGACCTCCTCAGCTGGATCGGTGGTGATGGTGGTGGGCATTTGACCGGTAGGAACATCTTCATCAGCTGCAGCGGTGGGAGAGGCGGAGGACAAGATACGGGTAACATTTTCTGCATCTGCGGCGGTGGGGATGATAGAGGTCCCGCAATTGGTGCAAGCGAGAGTAAAGGAAACTTGTTTGTCGCTGCCTTCCATGTAAGCAGTGCCTTTAAACTTTTCAGAGGCATCTCTCTGTGCCCTCAACTCAGCAATGAAGTTTTTCATTTCATCCATACTCGGTTTTGGATCCGAACTTTGACCAACATCTTCATTCACACTCATTTTCGACTTCTTGTTTGCATCCCCTACAAAAGCATCGGTTATATCTCTGGAAGCTTATCATAATAAAAATCATAAAGACCTTAGGGGGGCAACAACACGAGCAAAAAAAATAAGGAAGAGGTAAATGAGACGAAGAAGACTCACCCTTCTCATTAGGTTTAACCCTCCTGTACATGTATCGTTTGATGAAAGCACGTAAATCTTCAGTACCCAAGTCTTTTAAAAAAGACCTGTCCACCTCTCCATTCATGAAATGGAAAATCCTGTCACGAATGTCCTCACGAAGCTTCTCGTTTAGTTCCGTCAGCATCTGCTCTACTTCAAACGGCATCATCTTCTGTTTGTTGTTTGTTGTTGTTGTTGTTGTGGTGTGTTTTATTTTGCTAGCATGACGGTTGTTTATATAGTGGAAAAGGAGGGGTACATGCTCGTGAATTAGGTTTAACACTTTGGTGGACTCGGGGAACTTTTCAAATTACAGCCATGACATAGCTGTAATGTTACCAAGCAGAAGGATAAGAAGTATATCTGAAGAAATAGAAAAAAATCTGATATAGATAAAAAAATTACCGTTATATGAGAATTTCCTAGTAGTTTCGTAGGCTTGAACATGGTCATTTTGTGCATATATGTGTTACACGCGTAGCTATATGACTGAGTGCTGATTCATTTTTCAGATAGAATTTGTTTTCATGTCTATATGTGCATGCATACGTATATCTAATCAGTAAATTCATACAAATTATCTACCTTTGGGGGGATTTTTCTTAATATATTTTTTTAGTTTCTTTTTAAAACTTATTTCCTTATGATCTTTTTATTTTTAGTTGGTCGGCCAAAAATCTGAAATCTGTCCCCATTAATTATTTACACAGTTAATAAAACCCTGTCAGAAGAATATTCGTTTAAATTGGTTTGTTCTCTATTCACTATTCTCTTGTGATTATGATTTTTGATTTTATTTTACTGTTCTTCACCTACGATTTCACATAAATAAACCTTTTGCAAAATCTGTCAATATCTTCAAGTAATTTCTTCCATCGAATGCACCTTTTGTTAGAGTCTGCCAATTTCTCAAAACAAGAATCTCCACCATATGTGATATTGGTGCTTTTCATAAGATAGAACATTTGTTGATCTTTCATTCTTTCTCTTCTTTAACACTGAATTCTAAAACTAGTACGGTAACACATACAAAACTTGACTTGGAAGATTTAGGTGATCCGATTGTTGGATTATAATGAAAGGACTAATCTTATTCGAAATGAACAAGTCTTGTGTGCCTTGCGAAGTATTCATAACTATCATCATCATTAATTAAATTTCTTGTTTGCTTTATTCATTTTGAATAATTTTCTCTTGATTACGTTTGTTTCTCATATTATATATATCAGTGAGATTGAGAAATCTCATCCCATCAATAACTTAGCTTAGGTTGTTCCTGATATTTTGTATTTAGTGTGTTCCTCCACAATATCTCCTTGTGGATTCGACCCTAATACTATTCCGATTAACGACATTGCTCTAATTAAGAACCAGGATCTTTGCAGATTGCTTATGTATTGCCCTTAATTTAACTAAAACAAAAACTCATAAGAGGCTACTCTTGATCAAACTTGATTATCAAACTTGTAAGATCAAACTTGATTTTTATAATTATTATTTTTGAAGAGTAAAAGCTTTGATTTATATGATTAAACTTAGAGAAAATTAAAATAGAACCAAATTGTTTTTTATCGCCCAAATACATGATAGATAATATCAAAAGAAGACAAATGACAACAATGAACTTAAAAAAAAAAAGACAACATAAACTTAAAAAGAAAAAAGAAATGTAGAAAACACAAATGCAAATGATATTAGGAGGCACAAACTTCAGGCGATAACAATCCCTCGGACTAAGGGTTATTGGTGGTGTTAGGAGCAGAAGCATCTTCATCTGGATCGCTGGTGATGGTGGAGGACAAGACACGGATAGCATTATCTGCATCTGCGGCGGTGAGGATGAAAGGGGACCCGCAGTGGCTGCAATCGAGGGTTAAGTAAGCTTCTTTGTGGCTGCCTATCATGGAAGGATTGCCTTTATAGTTGGATTTATATCCAACCCCAGAGGCACCTCTCTGCGCCCTCAACACAGCAATGAAGTTTCTCATGTCATCCATACGCTGATTTAGATCCGAACTTGGACCACCATCTTCATTCACACTCACTTTCAAGTTCTTGTTAGCATCTTTAACAAAGGCATCGATTATCGGTGGAAGCGTATTGTAATAAAAATCATAAAGACCTTGGCAGTTGATTTCAACCGAGTCTTTACGATCTTCACGCTCGATTGGGGCAACCACTCTAGAAAACACGAAAAGAGACGAAGAAGACTCACCCTTCTCTGGATTGTTAGCCGCCTTGGTATGCTTCTTGGCCAAAGCACACAATTCTTTAGTACCCAAAGCTCTTAAGAGAGACATGTCCACCTCTCCATTCATGAAATGGAACACCATTTCGCAAATCTCCTGACGGAGATCCTTGTTTTGTCTAATCAGCATCTGCGCTTCTGTTGACGGCATCATCATTCTCAGCACCTTCTCTTGATGGCCAGTAGAGGACTGCACAGGATCTGATGCCGGCGATTTTGTTGTTGTTGTGGTGTGTTTTATTTTGTTAGCATGACCGTTGTTTATATAGTGAAAAAGGAGGGGGACATGCTCGTGGATTAGGTTAACACTTTGGTGGACTCGGTAACATTTTGAATTACAGCCATGACATAGCTGTAATATTACCAAGTAGAAGGATAAGAAGTAAATCTGAAAAAAATGGAAGAAAATCTGATATAGATAAAACTTACCGTTATACATGAATGAGATTTTCCTATTTGACTGAGTAGCTATATGACTGAGTGCTGATTCATTTTTCAGATATAGTTTGTTTCATGTCTATACGAGCATGCATACGTGTATCTAATCAGTAAATTCATACAGATACTATCTACCTTTGGGGATTTTTCTTAATTTTTTTTTTTTTAGTTTTCTATTTTTAACTTATTTTATATTTTTAGTTGGTCTGCCAAAAATCTTCTCTCAAAGGGGCTTAATGACAACTTTGGGGTAGTATCTCAGTATGAAAGACCCTTATTGTCCAGATAGAAACTAGAAAGCCCATGTAATTGTCAGCTCAACCGAAAAGAAGAGTGTTTCATCCTAACCTTTCATAAATTTGTTAATTAAAATGGTTAGTAAACACTGGCATATGATATGAATATGACTCGAGAGTTGAACGATCAGCTTGATATCCCATTGATTATCAAGGACTAGAGATGAGAAGTTTTTTTGCAAGAGGAATCTTATTGCTAACATTATATTAAAAAATTCAAATCTTATTGATAACGTTATACTATTAGATATTAGGTGATGCCAGAGAGACGCATCATGAAAACTTGATAATAAGTTTGCAGATATTGTACGGCCTTGCAACATAGAAGTACCTTCCTCCCTCTACTAATTTAAGTTATGGAGTGTATCCTCAGGAGAAGTATTGTTAGAGTCATTTTCAGACAATTTTCTTACAGATTGTGGAGATGTTTTTTGCCTTAAGACTAGCAAGCATTCTGTTTCTTAAAGCTTCGCTTCTCGCAATATAATAATATTCATATTCAATCATCTCGATGAGTTGTATAGGCTAGGTTTTTTCCTTAGAAATGCTAGGAATCAGGAGTCGTTGTTTTTTTTTTTCTTTTATTGTATGTAGGTTGTATGTTTAAAGAATTTCCCGAGACCATAGGTTTCTAGTTACATTCATAAAGGTGACAAAGAAAAAGAAAATCAATTTTTATAAGTGTATTGTTAAAGTTTTAGAGAAAAAATAACTTGACACGGTGATGGAATCAAAACAGAACCCCTTAGTTCCCTCAGCCCTCGAAATGGACGATGATGAGGTTAGTAGGAAACATTATTTCTAAGTAACAAAAGAAAAATCTTCACTCGGAAAAAAAAAAAAAAAGCCCTTAGGTCTAAGGATTATTGGTGATGTTAGGCGCATAAACATCAGCAGCGGTGTTGGTAACGAGATTAAGGTTGAGGCTTAGTGATGGCCGTTGCCGTCGATGGAAGATTGAATACTATCTCATTTTAGAGATATGTTACGTTGTAAACTTCTAGATTTTTTTGGGCATTTTTCCATTATTTGAAAATATACACTTTTGGAGATATTAAGACCAAATACAGAGGGAAAATATAGCGTATAGAATATGTATACGAGTTGTATTTTTATTTACAGAAAAAAATTACAGCAAAATTTGATTTCATCAATAGCTATTTATATTTATTACTTAATTAATAGATTTTACATAGATTTGTGACGTGGGAAGAAAATTAGTTGTAAAGTGTGTCACGCCAGATAGGCATTGGTAATTAAAAAGGTTTGATGAAACAGTTAAAATTTGATGTTTTTCAAGGAGTTTTATATGATCAGTTTGAAAAAAGGAAAAATTAAGAAGTGTGTTGTGCATATGAATTAAGAACAAGCATCCACATGTTGTGTTTATGACATAAATAAAACTTCATGTATTCATACACTTGTTGCTGCTAAGTCTACAAACATGAATGAAAACAAGCTATCGATGATTTTTATTTATGAGATAGATGGGCTAATGCATATACAAATGCTGACAACGATTTGGATTATTCTAACTTCTTTAGCTGAAATTATGTGCAAAATAGTGGCCACCTATAAAATCTCAATAAAGTGATGAAACAAGCCAAGAATAAATTGGAATTTTAAGCCTATCGAATGTTTCCAGATCAAATCATAGGCCCATCACATCGGTTAGGGCCTAGTAGCGACCAAAAATTATGTTCTTTTAGAAAATTGCAAAGTGTATATAGAACTTACCTCTTGCATGAATAGTGAACCTATTATCAAATGAACCATGAATTGATATAGCCCCTATGATTTTTGTATAATATGAGACCTACAAAGCATGGGATTTCTCTAAGCTTTAGGTCATGCATGGATTCTGTTCATACACCTTTCTCTTTGTTTACATTTTGATTTAGATAAAGTCACAGTTAGTGTAGAACAACAATTTTATCAAAAAAAAAGTCACAGTTAAACAATTCTAAATCTTAATGTCAGAAGACTCAGAACCATATATTTTCTTTCCATCTGTGCTTTTACGTCGAATCTCTCAAAAGAAAATATATGCTCTTTTGACACACGAAAAAAGAAAGTATAATATGCTCCTTTTGGTTTCTACTCGTCGACTTTAACATTTTTAAGAAAAACAAGAAAAATAAACACAAAACTAAAGTTGTACATTGGATCTGACCTGACGACAACATTCGACTCATGTGCAGTGCAACTAAAAACAAAAGTCGGCATCTATGATGTTCGAGAAATGATATAAGCTGTATTGGCTTTTACGTTACATATACAAATTGTATCAATTGAAATGGGGACAGTCCCGTTACGGTCTAATAGTGTATAGTTTAGTGACTACACCATCTATTACTCCGTATATATACATATCATCAGTATATTAGTATAGTGCACACAGAAATAGTCGTGAGACATTATAATGCAAATAATGCTTCTGTTTAGACTCTCAAATTATCTTCATGTCACCAATTTTAGTTCTAATGCGATGATGATAGAAGGATTTTTCTATTTACGGCACAACATTTCTCCTCGAGCAACCAACCAAAAACATGACTTTGCGTTTCTCAAAGTGGGTGCTTGACAAGTTGTCGATACACCTTTTCGGTATGCACTCACACACATATTCCAAACATAACATGCATTTTGGTGGCTTAAAAAGCAAACAAAGACAAAGCAAAATCTGTCAAGATTTTATTTCAATGATTCCGAGTTATTATCATCACAAAATAATTAAAATTTCCCACTATTTACGTTGAGAATATCATAATAAATTAATAATATCAATTTTTGAAAATGATATCTCAACAGTCGAATCATACGGCAGATATTTTGCTTTCCCTTTTCTTCTTTATATCATCCGCTTCCACTCTTCACATGAGCAACCAAACCAGAGACACTACCAAACCCTAAAATCTCTCACTTTATCTCTCTCTCTCTCTCTCTCTCTGTGAACATCCATGTCGACACCAGAAGCTTCAGCTACTGAATTATCCCTGAAAAGGCCCAGAGAAGATGAGATAACGGAGCCGCCATGGAAACAGAGGAATCCGCCACCGCCGCCACCGATAACGGCGGAGGCGTCTCTAAGGAGGAGCCTGCGTGTATCTCCTCTATAATTCCCGGATGGTTCTCCGAGATGCGTCCCACGTGGCCAGGTGCTCAAATTTTCATTTTTTGATCTGAAATTCACTCTATTGCTCTGTTTCTAAAGCATTTCCTCTGTTTTTGAAGCTGAATTTTGAAACTGTTGTAGGAGAGGCACACTCTGTGAAAGTACAGAAAATCCTATTCCAAGGAAAATCTTATTACCAAGATGTGATTGTTTTCCAGGTAACAAAAACAAATTCTAGTTCTCTAGATTTGAAATTTACAGTCTCAGAGTGCTGATTTTTAGTTTCAAAGTTGGTACCTTTATGACCTTTAATTTGGTGAATTTCTTCTCTTTCAGTCTGCAACATATGGACAAGTTTTGGTTTTGGACAGAGTGATTCAACTCACAGAAAGAGACGAGCGTGCGTATCAAGAAATGATCACTCACCTTCCCTTGTGCTCCATCTCCAACCCTAAAAAGGTGAATCCTTTTTGTTTTTAACAATCTAGATCTCTTTTCTGTGTATGTACAATCGATTACTGTGTTATTAAGATAATCAAATTTTCTTGCTTTCTACTCTTCAAAATGTAGAGCAACACTAGAGTTTGTCTCTCAGTTTCTGACCATAGAAGAAATGATGATCCTTTAGGGGTTTGGCTTTAGAAATGTAATGAATCCAATTGTTTGTAACTTGGCCCAGCTTCTGAATAATGGTGAGAGGCTAAAAACCTAAAACTTTAACAAAGTGTGTTTCTTATGATAACCTTTCTTCTTCAGGTGAAGGAGGAGATGGAGGAGTCCTCCGAGAAGTGGCACGCCATAGCAACAGAGAAGCTTTGTCGAGTGACGCGTGATCGTTCCAAGATCAGAGGTGCAAGTAAAGTTTGGAACTTTGGAGTATTCTGCTCTGCATTGCTCAGCTAAGTGCTTTCCTTTTTACATAATCCAAAGCACACTTAAATTATTATTGAAAAAATGATAAGCTAAAGGCTAGTAAAGGAAAGTACGAAAACGCACCTCATATTTGTATTGGGTTCTCGTTTGCAGATCAGTCTTAAGTCTTAACTACACCAGAAAATGAACACATGAAGGAGAAAGGAACATTAGTCATCTGAATTTACAGAAATATGGTATAAACAAAATTAAACATTTTCAAAAGAGTTAATTTTACAAATCAAAAATTAAGCAATTTTGGAAACATGAAGCAAATAATAAAATATCTTGGCTTCAGCGATAGCCACAACCAAATCTACATGCTTCTCTTTCCTATTAGTTTTTTCATCAATATCTGCAGTCTTCAACCAAAATTCCATCCAGTACACATTTCAGATTATAATCGATTAATCAAACCCTTAAAACTTCTAAACAGAAGAATAAACATACCACAATAGTGAAATTATATTTCATTTCAGCCATGATTCACTTTCTTGCCATGGATTGAGAACCTAGAATCAACTTTACGTTGAGAATATTTTGTATCTCGTGAGCAATTTTTTCCATCAAGTCAATACGAAAACCATAAAGAGAGAGACAAACCTTGAATCCTCTCTTTATCCCCTTATTGGCCATCTTTGCGGTGTTGTGTTCTAACTCTGAGAGGAAGAGTGACAATAGAAAAATTATGAATAAAAAAAAACTACAAATAGATTGAAGATTGAACTTTTCACCATCTTTAAAAACACAGAAATGTATTATTCTACTTTGTTTTGATATATTATTTATATTGCAACTCAAGAATTCTATAATATATAGATCTCAACGGTAATCTGGTGTTCATATATCAATTTCTTAAAAAAAATCTCTATCAAAAGTTCAATGCTAAACAAAGAAATAAACATACTTTTAATTTTGAACTTTGACCTAACTTTTTTCTTCATTTTAGTAAAACGAAGATAAAAGTGTGTAATATTGTATTTTCTTGAATAAAGAATAAGAGTTTGTATGGTCACAATTCCTTTCATTATCAATGCTTCCAAGTTCACACTTTTATTTGAATTTGGAAGCAAAGAGAATGTGAACTTGAAAGCAATGATAATGAATTGCAACTTACTCTTATTCTTTATTAAAAAAGAAACACAGTATTACATACTTTTATTTTCATATCACTAAAATGAAGAAATTTAGGCCAAAGTTAAAAATAAAAGTATATTTATTTCCTTGTTTAGCATTGAACTTTTGATAGAAATTTTTTTAAGAAATTGATACATTAACATCAGTTTACCGTTTAGAACTATATATATAGAATCACTGGAGTTGCAATAGAAGTAATCTCTCAGAATAAAGTAGAATAATATTTGTGTGTTTTTAAAGATGGTCAAAAGTTAAATCTTCAATCTTTTTGTAGTTTTTTTATTATTCATAATTTTTCCATTGTCACTCTTCTGCTCACAGTTAGAGCACAACACCACAAAGATGGTCAAAAAGGGGATGGAGAGAGGATTCAAGATTTGTCTCTCTCTCTTTGGTTTTCGTATTGATTTGATAAAAAAATTTCTCATAAGATGCAAAATATTCGACGTGAAGTTGATTTTAGGTTCTCAATCCATGATGAGAAAGCGAATTCTGGCTGAAATGGGATACAATTTCACTATGGTCGTATGTTTCTTCTTCTATTTAGTAGTTTTGAGAGTTGATTAATTGATTGTAATTTGAAATGTGTATTGGATTGGATTATGGTTGAAGACTGCATACATTGATGAGAAAGCTATTAGAAAAGAGAAGTCTGAAGATTTGGTTGTTGCTATCGCTTAAGCCAATGTTTTTTATTATTTGCTTCATGTCTTCAAAATTACTTATTTTTTTATTTGTAAAGTCAACTCTTTAATTTTAAAAATGTTTAATTTTGTTTTCTAGGCAGATGAGATAATATCGAAAATGGGAGGTCTAAGCGAGTTTGTGTAGGATCCTCTACCAACTCTATTGATTACTGCAGACACTGTATGATGCTTAATGCCTCAAATTTTGTTCAGTTGTTATCACTTTTAGCTGATGTTATAATACTATGATAGGTTGTTGTGTACAAAGGTGTCGTCAGAGAAAAACCAACCAGCAAATAAGAAGCTCGCAAATTTATCAGAAGGTTCTTATTTTTCTCCAAATTTTATTACTTTCAGAGTTATGACAGAAGCTCGTAGATCAATAGGATCATTGCTTCATTGTACTTAGGTAGTCTAAAAATGGTGTGATTTTGTTTAAAATCAACTCAGGCTATTCAGGATCACATGAAGGTGTTGTGAGATATGTTATTGTAAGAAACTTGAAAACTGGAGTTAAAAGAGGATGATGGGACAAAGCCTAGGTAGAACATCACACACCCTCTTTCTTGTCTCCTTGTAATATATGTTTCCCTTTCTCTTTGGATGATGTTTCTTGATTATTATTGTTATTTGTTAGTCACATTTTTTGTTTATTTTTAAAAATTTAAGAAGTGTGTTGTTCATATGAAGAACAAGCATCCACATGTTGTGTTTATGACATAAATAAATTTTAATGTATTCATACACTTGCTGCTTCGAAGTGTACAAACATGATTGAAAACAAGCTATTGATGATTTTTATTTATGAAATAAATGGGCTAATGCATATACAAATGCTGAAAACGATTTGGACTATTATAACTTATTTAGCTGAGATTATGTGCAAAACAGTGGCCACCTATAAATTATCAATAATGTTTCCAGATCAATTCATAGGCTCATCACATTGGTTAGGGCCTAGTAGCGACCAAATTTTCTTTTCTTCTAGAAGATAGCAAAGTGTATATAGAACTTACTTCTTGCATGAGTGACTACACCATCTAATGATAATTTTAACATTAGAGATATAATCCGGTTAGAGTTTTTTGTTCAATGAGATATTTTTTTGGGAGATAAGAACGTATTCATTTCACAAAATTAGCAAAAGTATGAATCGGAGTTTACAAATTATGAAGCGATATGCATTGAAGGCTTTAAAAGCAAACAAAGACGAGCAAAAGCTGGCAAGATTTGATTTCAATGATTCCGAGTTATCATCACAAAATAATTAAAATTTCCTTATTTACGTCGGGAATATCATAACATTTTAAAAATATTATATTTGAAAATGATATTTTAACAATCAAATCGTACGGCAGATATTTTGCTTTCCCTTTTCTTCTTTATATCATCCGCTTCCACTCTCACATGAGCAACCAAACCGGAGATAGAGACAACTAAACCCTAAATCTCTCACTCTCAATCTCTCTTTGTGAGCATCCATGTCGACACAAGAAGCTTCAGCTACTGATTCATCCCTGAAAAGGCCCAGAGAAGAGGAGGATAACGGAGCCGCCATGGAAACAGAGAAATCCACCGCCGCCGGCACCGATAACGGCGGAGGAGTGACCAAGGAGGAGCCTGCGTGTATCTCCTCTATAATTCCCGGATGGTTTTCCGAGACGAGTCCCATGTGGCCCGGTTAGTGCTCCAATTTTCAATTTTTGAACTTTTAAGAATCTGAAGTTCACTCTATTGCTCTGTTTCTATAGCTTTTCCTCTGTTTTTGAAGCTGAATGTTCAATATCTGAGCTGTTTTTGAAAAAAAACTGTTGTAGGAGAGGCACACTCTCTGAAAGTAGAGAAAATTCTATTCCAAGGAAAATCAGATTACCAAGATGTGATTGTTTTCCAGGTAACAAAGACAAATCTCTTGAAATTTACAGTCTCAAAATCCTGATTTTAGTTTCAAAGTTGGTACCTTTATGACCTTTAATTTGGTGGAATTTCTTCTCTTTTAGTCTGCAACATATGGAAAAGTTTTGGTTTTGGACGGAGTGATTCAACTCACGGAAAGAGACGAATGTGCGTATCAGGAAATGATCACTCACCTTCCTTTATGCTCCATCTCCAACCCCAAAAAGGTGAATCCTTTTTGAACAATCTATATCTCTTTATCAGATAAACTCTTCTTCTGTGTGTGTACAATCGATTACTGTGTTGTTAAGATAGCTTAGATAAACAAAGTCTCTAGCTTTCTACTCTTCAAAATGTAGAGCAACACTAGAGTTTGTCTCTAAGTTATGACCATAGAAGAAATGATGATCCTTTTAGGGGTTTGGTTTTAGAAATGTAGAGACTCTTTAACTGTTTGTAACTTGGCCCTGCTTTTGCTTAATGGTGAGAAGCTAAAAGTCTAAAACTTTATAACCTTTCTTCTTCAGGTGCTGGTCATTGGAGGAGGAGATGGAGGAGTCCTCAGAGAAGTGGCACGCCATAGCTCTGTTGAGCAGATTGACATGTGTGAAATCGATAAAATGGTGGTCGATGTGAGTCATCATCTCATTCCTCAAACATCCTCCATTTACATTGAAATATGCTTCAAGTCTTAACAAGTTTTGATCTTTTTCAGGTCTCTAAGCAATATTTCCCTAATGTAGCAATTGGATTCGAAGATCCTCGTGTGAACCTCGTCATTGGAGATGGTACACACTACACAATGCTCTCTGGCCTTTTAAATCTCTTTTTTAAAACGGTTTTAACTAATGTTTGTGAGCATTTCTTGCAGGTGTTGCGTTCTTGAAGAATGCTGCTGAAGGAACATACGATGCAGTGATTGTTGATTCATCTGATCCGATCGGTCCAGCAAAAGAGCTGTTTGAGAAACCGTTCTTTGAGTCAGTGAACAGAGCGCTCCGTCCCGGTGGAGTTGTGTGCACACAAGCTGAAAGCTTGTGGCTTCACATGGACATTATCGAAGACATTGTTTCTAATTGCCGTGAGATCTTTAAAGGATCTGTCAACTACGCTTGGACTAGCGTTCCAACTTATCCGAGGTTCTTATTTTGAATCGAATCTTGTTTTGGTTTGTTTTCACACAAAAATCTGAATGCGTTTTTGTGATGATTCATTTTTTTGCAGTGGAGTCATTGGATTCATGCTATGTTCAAAGGAAGGACCAGAGGTTGATTTCAAGAAACCAGTGAGTCCAATCGATGCTGATGAGAGCTCTATCAAATCAAACGGACCCTTGAGGTTTTACAACTTCGAGGTACAGAGATTATAATCATTGTACCAATCATTTTAGGCTTCTTTTTTGAAGTTCTTGTTGAATTGATTGAATCTTTTTGGGTTTTCAGATTCACTCAGCTGCTTTCTGCTTGCCAGCTTTTGCCAAGAAGGTGATTGATTCGAAAAGCTAATTAGAAAGAGGAGAGAAATTTGTTTCCTTTTTGAGAAATTTTCAAATGAAAGTGATGATTATGATGATGATCCTTTAATAAAAAAAGTTTCTATTTTTAGAAATGTAATGTTTGTTCATTTTCAAGCAATATTCTGTGACTGCATTGAGCTGCTACAAATAGTAATATTGTCAAACGGAGACATATAATGTGGGGCCCAATACTGAGATTTTGTTTAGGTGATTCAGAACCAAAAATAGAAAAAGAAAAAGAGGCAAATGTTTCTAATGGGCCTTATAATTTGGGCTTACATCAGCAGCCGTCCAAAAAAGTAGGTCATCCAACAAATATTATACACGTGTGCACTCGTGTTGTCCACGTCCGGTGTCATTAATTAAGGAGACGTTGACAATCGTTATACACGTGTGTAGGTGATCACATCGATGGTTACATCACAATATCACATAAACATGTCTCTTGGTGATAATCTTACTTTAAATCATTTATGTTTGATTTTCTGTCGTTGTCTACTAATTAAATGGGTGCATTGCGAAATAGTTGGATTGCCACGTCACAATCATTTTTCGACAGCAATGTGATATATTTTCTTGGACTAAAATCAAAGAAGATAATATACTTTTGTAACATATTATACATCCGTTATTTGGCATATACTTTGGATAGTTCAAGTGTTTAACCAGTATATAACCAAAAATTTAGTGTTTTAAAAAAAAACTAGTTATTGTATATATTGTTTGTTAAAGTACATATTCCTTCCGTTTTAAATTAGTTGTCGTTTTGGGAAAATGTATCTGCAATTATTTGAATGTATTTGCTATGCAAAATACGTTCAGATACGTCTAAATATTTACAGATATATTTTGCCAAAACGACAATTAATTTGAAACGGAGGGAGTATAAATTATTTGTGAAGGAGAAATTACGAAACATGTCGATGGGTTCTATTATATCATGTAAATGTCTTGTTGACATGATGCTAATGAGTATATTGATTCGAAAATAATGTTGTCGGGTGTAATTACATCATAAGATTTGTCGGCTTAGACAATTGTAATTTAATTATATGGGATTGTTTTTTGTGGCTCTTAATGCTTCCCACGACTTCGAAAAGGACAATTAAAAGGGTGTGTAGATAATGTACAGTTCAACGACACTGGCCAACACTTTGAAAAATTCCCACCTGGACACGTCAGCTGGATTAGAAATCTCTACGAATGAAAAACAAACAGGTAAAAGTCTCGAAACATTGGTGTAATATTCTTAGCAAGAAAAATTAACATTGGTGTAATATTTTATAATTATACTCTCATATGGTTAAGTCAAAATTTAGACAACGAAACTTGACCGAAAACTAAAAAGAGTGGTAAAGTTGGCACAAAAAGACAAGCTGCGTGTTTTGTTTTCTCTTAGATTTTCACGATGAAAGAGTTAAAAGAGAAGAGACTTGTTCTAAAGATGTTTGAATCTTTGTTCAACTTTTAAAGTAGATTCATTGGACTGTGAAACAAACAAGTATTTGGTATTTTTGCGATTCGTGTAAACTAAACTACCAATTAGAGGGAAGTGGAGATGGTTATTGGCGAATGAATTTATTTTTAAAATTGAATAAATTAGAGTTCTACCAAACAATGATGTCATCGGCGGCAAATAAGTCAATATCTAACAAATAAAACAGCAAAATTGTAGATGCTAACGTAATCACAATCGTAATATTCTGCAATGACGCAATCACGGGGATGGGGAGACAAAAGAACAATTACCTAACAAAAGTAGGAAGCTCTCTCGTAATTCGAATCATCAAATAGTTTTCCCCATTATTTCGTTCTTATATAAAAACTATCATATTTAAAATAGACTAAAGACAGAATTACGTTTTTTCTCTCATTAAAATTGAACCTTAAAAATATTTATTTTTCACTTTGACTTTTCAAATATCGTTTTTTTTTTTTACTTTCATCGTTAAATATGTGTTCAAATCCTTTTCTATCATATATAGTTCCTGACACAATATGGAATCTAATCTCATTGTAGATGTCAAGTTCCGCTAGAGCTTCTTTTAGATGTGTTGCCAAATAATCCTTCGGTTTAATCCAATCGGGAACTACCACATTTTCCACATTGATGTAGACATCGATTAATTCATCCTGCATAGATGATGAAAAGTGAAATTAAGAAATAGAAGAAGATAAAATGGCATTTGTTTCTTTATGTCTTTTATGTGTGGATATGTCTTATGTAATAAGAACTATAACAATTAACAAGATGGCTTTGATTCAAAAATACCTGGTCTCAAATATGAAATATGTAGAGATAAGAAGGAATCGAATCATTGACAATTATTGTTACTGATTCTTGCAGAAACTGGAGAGCACTTCACGTTCTTCCCACACGTGTATGCCCAATATCGAACGCCAGATTAACCGGGATTTATGTCTTAAGATTTGTCCAGAGATGACCACGTTGAATCCGGTTATCGAAAAACCGGTATCGTATTAAACACTTTAAACACAATTCACAATATTGATATGCATGCACGCGTGGATCATTTCTAACTTTAATTGAGTAGTACACTTGTTCGCTTCATGAAACCAAAACAAAAGCGCGAAAATACGATAAATTTAGTAGAATTTGATTCGATAATCAACTTTCTTATTCCATATTCGAAAATCGAAGCGAATTTCAAATTGACAAAAAGAACACGGCTAACTAAAAGATGTTCCAAATTAAAGAGATAACTTTGTTGGAAAGTGGAACATCTTAGATGATGAAAACCATTTGTTGGCTTTACAAATTCGACATGTATGGTCGTTATAACTCGATAAAGCTTCACGTTAATTAGATAACTCCAAATTATCCACGAATATGTGGATCTCGGTATAGACGCATGATTGTTTCAAAATATAAAGGGCGTCCACATTTGGAAAATTTAATAATGCAGTCAGCTCAATTTTGGCCTTTTTCGTAACGCAACAAAATTTGAATAAAATGTAAAGTATTATATGAAGAGAGGACCCATATATATGTCTGCTTTTTTTTGTTATCAATCTCTCCATACAAAACCTCAAATGGATTTTATTTATTTATTCTTAGATGAAGTTAGACCCATTACCCAAAAAAGTGGTTTCGAAAGGGAATTATTCTGTTATAGATTCCACTACCAAAGCTAAAAGTAAATAGATATGTTATTTGATAAATAGATGGCTGCTAAAATGAGAAAGGCATGAATCTATCATATATGTTTGGTAAAATAATATAGAAAATTATTCAATAGTTTATTGTGTAAATTGGTTACTCTAGCACCAACTCCTACTACGAAAGTAAAATTCCCGTGGAGCATGAATATTAAGAGGTATTTTAAATAATAAGCATGAGGCTTGAGTGAGTTGGACATTTGCTTATTGTTTTCTTTTGGTTAAATCTGATATGTTAATTAAGATTGAAATAAAACTTATCCATCTTCAGTTAGCTGTAAGTTAAAAATGATATCGCAACCAAACATGTTTTCAACCGTTACCGACTGTTTTTTTGGGGTCAAATAACAACTGTTACTTTGTCAATATACTTTGTAACGTTACAACCATAAATGTCTAGTTTCATAAATTTCAGTGGACATACTGAAATTAGGTGACAGATAAAACGTGTCTAACTTTTAACAGTAAGAAAACACTATTAGCATTTGCATGGATTTTTGTTTTTGTGCAAGCAGCATTTTCATGATTTACAGTCAATTTTACTTATTACAAAGGTTATTTACTTTTTTTTTCTGCTAGTGTTCTTTTTAAGTACTACATATTTGTTCTCCGATTTTGGGAATACCAATTTTAGTGTGACATATAAACCATACTGTATATTTGAAACAATTTGGAAACATTTACACCAAACAAATAAAGGCCAAGTGAATGAATAAAGTTGAACTTGACTAATGACAGTATTTAGACCCAACCGTAATGATTTCTTTGCTTTATAATTTGTCTTCAAATTTCAACATAACATTTTCTTTTGAAATTACGTGATAATCACTTTATAGAAAGATTGAATTATATGAATCGACATCCCACTTATCAAAACGCCATACTTTCCGTTTCCTTTTTTTTGGCAATCTCGACACACTTTGCTTTCACATTATAATTTTCTTCTTCTTTTTGGGATTAATTTAATGTTAAATCACATTTTAATATTTATCATCATATAGTAACAAATTAACAATACACATTCAAATAATAATGGGGAAATTTCACAAATAAGGTCATTGTTATCTATGGTTATATCATAAATAAACTATTACCATCTAGAGTTTGACTAATCTATTTGTTGAAGTAAACGCACATAAATATATAGACATAATCGTTTTTTTGGGTTTTAAAGTTCAAACACATTTTAATATTTCTCATCATTACACTATTTTGTATAATATATAGTAACACATTTAACAATACCCATTCCAAGAATAACTATAACTATCAAAAAGAGAGAAAAAAAGTCATCATCATCTATGGTCATATCATAAATAAACTATTATTAGCATCTAGAGTTTGACTAATCAATTTGTTGTAGTAAACGCAAATATACATCTACATCAATATCTGAATTATATATATCAAGAAGCAAATCAAATGAAAATCCACCTCTATACATCTCCTCAAAAGCCTAAACAAAAAAATCTCTCTCTTTCTTTCATCTTTCTCCCAAGTAAGCAACTTCAAAACTTGGTTAACCCAACAAATAAAATAATTAAGAAGAAAAAAGTCGCTCTCTTTCTCTTAAAAATCTCACCTTTTCGTCCGAATCCAGAGAAACCCATACGCAAAAATCCTCTACGTGTACGATTTTCTCGAATTTTCCATCCACCTTTTAATTTTGTTTTCTTCTCCTCATTTTCAAACGATTCTCGTTTGCTCAACTGTTCAGTTCTCAGTGGTAAAAAAACGTATCGGAAAATCCCACAAAAAAAAAAAAAAAAACTCTGTTTTTCAAACTCAATTGCTCTGCATCTGTTTCGTTTTTTTTTTGTAAGTTTCTGAAAATGGTTATGATTTGAAAATCCAAATCCCAAAGTCTCTTCCGATTCGCGAGGATTCATGGATATCGAATCCGGAAGTTACCAAAACATCGCCAAGGTGAGTCAAAAACTCTCATCAGATCCATCATCGAAATCATCGATTTTAGGAAATAAAAATCGAAACTTTATTGTTTGTGTGATTGATTGCAGAAGGAATCATGGAGAACAGTGTTGACATTAGCGTTTCAGAGCTTAGGAGTCGTCTATGGAGATTTGAGCATTTCTCCGTTATACGTCTACAAGAGCACATTCGCCGAAGACATTCACCACTCGGAGACAAACGAAGAGATCTTCGGCGTCTTGTCATTCATCTTCTGGACGATCACGCTCGTCCCTCTCTTCAAATACGTCTTCATCGTCCTCAGAGCTGACGACAACGGCGAAGGAGGCACTTTCGCTCTCTACTCCCTCCTCTGTCGACACGCCCGAGTCAACTCGCTCCCGAGTTGCCAGCTGGCCGACGAGCAGCTCATCGAGTACAAAACCGACTCGTTCGGTTCTTCGTCGTCGTCTTCGTCAATGATTCCTCAGTCGGGTTTCGCGGCTGGTCTGAAATCGACGCTTGAGAAACATAGAGTCTTGCAGAAGATCTTGCTTGTTCTTGCTTTGATTGGGACTTGTATGGTGATTGGTGATGGTGTTCTTACTCCTGCAATTTCAGGTAAAGTTGTTTCCTTTTTTAGTCTTTTGAGTCTCTGTCAAAGCCAAAGATCATTGCTTTTGATTTGACTGCTTACGCTGTTCTGTTTTTTGGTCTGTTCTACAGTTTTCTCTGCAGTCTCTGGTGTTGAGCTTTCAATGTCTAAGGAGCATCACAAGTGTGAGTCTTTCTTTCACTGTTCTTGATTAGTCTCATACTCTGTCTCAATCTTGGTTTAAACTTGCCGACTTGAGAAGGTGTTATCTTGCATTTAGAGTCATTGCTTGGTTTCTTTACTCAAGCGTGGAGCCCTGTTGTTGCCACCATCTGTTTTGTTGGATTTGCTTGACAAAGTTTTGCACGTAAACACTGATTTAAAAGCTATCGCTTTCGGTTTTTCGGAATTTGATGGCCCACGCCATTGAATAGGTGTTTGGATTGTTTCTCTTGATCACATCAAGTGGATGGATATATACCAAAACTTAACGTTTATCTTCTTCCTGAAAATTCTCATCTAACTTCAAAGTTTGGATCTTTGTGTTAATCAATCAACTCTTTGACTGAAACAGTCTTCCTTTATTGAGTCTCACATTCTGCAAAAACTGTCATTGTTTTTTGACTCTTGTAAAGTCTTTGACCTTTATGCCTCAAAACCATCACTTTTAGCAAAGGTTACTGTGATTGTATCTGAAACGTTTATCTTCATCCTCCAAAATTGGACTTTAGTGTTATCTACTCTTTGAATGAACATTGTTGTTATCAACTCTTTGACTGAACATTCTACCTTATTGAGTTTCACATTCTGCAAAACTGTCATTGTACTCTTTTAGTTATTAAAGTTTTGACCTTTAGCCCTAAAAACCATGAGTTCTTAAGAGAGGTTACTGTGATTGTATCTGAAACGTTTATCTTCATCCTGAAAATTCTCGTCTAACCCAAAATTTGGATCTTAGTGTTAATGTTCTCTGCAACTGTCATGTTCAATGACTCTTGCACTTGTTAAAGTATTGACCTTTAGCCTCAAAACCATGACCTTTCTTTGTATCTGAAACGTTTATCTTCATCCTGAATATTCTCATCTAACCCAAAATTTGGATCTTAGTGTTAATCTACTCTTTGACTGAAACATTGTTATCAATTGAGTTTCCACAATCTGCAACTGTCATGTTCAATGACTCTTTCACTTGTTAAGGTATTGACCTTTAGCCTCAAAACCATAACCTTTTGTTTGTAACTGAAACGTTTCCTCTGCTTTTTTCTCTGTTTTTTTTTTGTTATCAACTCTTTGACTCAACATTATACTTTACTGAGGTTCGACATCTGCAACAGTCATGTTCAATGACTCTTTCACTTGTTAAAGTATTGACCTTTAGCCTCAAAAATATAACCTTTTGTTTGTAACTAAAACGTTTCCTCTGTTTTTTTCCTCTGTTTTTGTTTGATGCAGACATAGAAGTCCCTGCCGCTTGCATAATCCTGATAGGTTTGTTCGCTCTCCAGCACTACGGCACACACAGAGTCGGCTTCTTGTTCGCACCTATAATCCTCCTGTGGCTACTCTGCATCAGCTCCATCGGTCTCTACAACATCCTCCACTGGAACCCACACGTGTACCAAGCTCTCTCCCCTGTTTACATGTACAAGTTCCTCAAGAAAACTCAAAGCAGAGGATGGATGTCTCTCGGCGGTATCTTGCTCTGCATCACAGGCTCCGAAGCAATGTTCGCCGATCTCGGCCACTTCTCTCAGCTCTCAATCAAAATCGCCTTCACATCACTCGTGTACCCTTCCTTAATACTCGCTTACATGGGACAAGCGGCTTATCTATCGCAGCACCACGTCATCGAAAGCGAATACCGGATAGGGTTTTATGTATCTGTACCGGAGAAGCTTCGATGGCCGGTTCTCGTCATCGCTATACTCGCTGCTGTAGTCGGAAGCCAAGCCATCATCACCGGAACGTTCTCCATCATCAAACAGTGCTCTGCTTTGGGATGCTTCCCGAAAGTGAAGATCGTTCACACGTCGTCGAAAATCCACGGTCAGATTTACATCCCTGAGATCAACTGGATCTTGATGATCCTCTGTTTAGCTGTCACCATCGGTTTCAGAGACACCAAGCGGTTAGGCAACGCCTCAGGTAACAGAATCAAAAATCAAAGTTTGGCGGTTATAACCGTTTACTAACTAACTAACTAACCGTTGATCATTTTTGTCAGGTTTGGCGGTTATAACGGTTATGCTGGTGACGACGTGTCTAATGTCACTAGTGATAGTACTCTGCTGGCACAAGAGCGTCTTCTTCGCGATCGCGTTCGTTGTGTTCTTCGGCACGATCGAATCTCTCTACTTCTCTGCTTCGCTGATCAAGTTCCTCGAAGGCGCGTGGGTCCCGATCGCGCTCTCGCTCTGTTTCCTGGCCGCGATGTGCACGTGGCACTACGGGACGCTCAAGCGGTACGAGTACGACGTGCAGAACAAAGTCTCGGTGACCTGGCTCCTCAGCCTCGGCCAGACGCTCGGTATTAAACGAGTCCGAGGCATCGGACTCATTCATACCGAGCTGGTCTCCGGCGTTCCGGCGATCTTTTCTCATTTTGTAACTAACTTACCGGCTTTTCACCAGGTTCTTGTTTTCCTTTGTGTCAAATCTGTTCCGGTCCCGCATGTCCGACCCGAGGAACGGTTTTTAGTCGGACGGATGGGACCGAAACAGTTCCGGATGTACCGGTGCATTGTCCGGTACGGTTACCGGGACGTCCACAAAGACGACATCGAGTTTGAAGGCGATCTTGTTTGTAGCATCGCCGAGTTTATCCGTTCCGAAGCTGCAACCGCCGTCACCGCCGCCGCGGAGACCAACGGAGAGGAGGAGGATGAAAGAATGTCGGTCGTCGGGACTTGTTCGACGTACATGCAAGGGATTGAGGATCAGGACGACGACCCGGATAAGCCCGGGACGTCGGAGATTCGGTCACCGAAGCCGCTGAAGAAGAAGAAGAGTAAGGTGAAAAAGAAAGTGAGGTTTGTTGTGCCGGAGACTCCGAAGATAGAGAAGGAGACGAGGGAGGAGTTGATGGAGCTAGCGGAGGCGCGTGAAGGAGGCGTGGCTTATATAATGGGGAACGCGTATATGAAGGCGAAGCATGGATCAGGATTGGTGAAGAGAGTCGCCATTAACGTTGGATACGAGTTTCTTAGGAGGAACACTAGAGGTCCGAGAACCGCACTTACGTCGCCGCATGCGTCTACGTTAGAAGTCGGTATGATCTACCATGTCTAGAAGTGGTATTTTGGTCTTTTTTTTATGTACATGATTTTGGTTCTGTGTTAGTTTTTGTCGAAAAGTTAATTAGATTATCATAGATCAAGAAATTTTGTTCTTTGTAAAGGTTAATCCTCCTTGACAGCTGGATAGAGAGTGTTTTGTTCTTTATTTTGGTCAAAGACAAGCTTTAAAGGTTTTGTACAAATCATATGGGTGTATAATGTATACCATATTTGTGATTACACATTGTTCCAAGTTGTTAGTATCTTTTGATTATCTATTTGATAGATATTTGTTTATAAACTTTCTTACATCTTATTTTTCTTGTGTTGTTTTAAGATAGACTTCGATAAGTTATCAAAATTCAAACTTGACGACGACTTCAAACATGTGGGTTTTATATTTTGAGTTGTACTTTATTTAGATTATTAGATAGACTTAGTATTTACATAGACTTATCAACGTCCCTTGGCTGTGTTTACATAGAATTAGTATTTACATAGACTTATCAACGTCCCTTGGCTGTTGTTGATGAATTAGTATTTAGTTATTACTTATTACATAGACTTATCAACGTCCCTTGGCTGTGTGTTTTTTATATTTGTCCCATTTAAAAATGTTTTACTCGTTGGACATCATATCAAGAGTTAATTAGTACCACCATTTGGTCATTTGATGTCACGGTCCAAGATGGTGCAGCCTCATCGCCATTGTTGAAGTCTTTGTTCCACGCGCCTTGGCGTCTCACCTCTCACGGTAGAAGGGATAAGGTCATTAGTTAAATCAAAATAAGCAAAATGCATACGTTCAAAGATTATTATATAAACACTATAGTCGGTTGTTTTTGAACCAAAATGTTAAAAAACCTCCGGCTCTCTCGCTCGCATCTTCTTCTCCGGTGGGTTTGAACGATGCCTTGGCTACGATGGTCTCCGTGTCTGCTCCTCACTCTCTGTTTTTTGTCTATCACCGGTTCGGTTCACGTGGTTAGAGCTCAAAATCGAACCGGAGCCACTACTCATCCCGACGAAGGTCTGTCTTCTTCTTGGATCACTTTGATAAAAAGTTCAATCTACCAGTAATGTGTTTGATAAAAATATATAATGTTTTTCCTAATAAATTTACCGGTTAAATGAAAAATATATGATTTAGAAATTTAGAATGCATGCAAGAGTATAACTAAGAACTAACTAGTAGAAATTGATGAACTTTGGGTACAAATGATTGATGTTATAGATAGATTTGTGTAGATGGTTTATAAAGCTTGAAGTTACAAAAGTCTTTTGTATTTCATATGCTTTGATAAAAATTTGCTCAATTTACTCGCACGTAACATGGATCGACTTTGTAAGTTGTACGATATGATGATAAAACTATATGGTCTTCTCTTATGTTACGTTCTTAACAATTATTTACCATCTACCTTAATAGTTCTAACAAAAAAAGTATTTTTTATAGCATTAACCACAATTATTTAATATACTCGAACTTATGATATTTTGATTTTTGATGATAGTAATCTGTTTTATGATAAAGTATTTTGAAAATTTTATCCAATGACAGACAATGAATTAGACTTTTTTTTTTTGTCAAGTGTCAACCAATGAATTATACTATAATATTTTAAAATTAATTTGACAGCGCATGCTTTAAACTCCATCTTCGCGACATGGAATATCCGGGCGTCGAGTCAATGGAACATCACCGGCGAGCTTTGCTCCGGCGCCGCCATCGACAGCTCTGTCACCGTCGAAAACCCTTCCTACAACCCTATAATCAAATGCGACTGTAATTTCGTCAACTCCACAATATGCCGCATCACAGCCCTGTACGCCTCTCTTTGTGCACCCCATGTGTTCGACGCATTCTCCCACTGAGAAATTACTAAATGTTTCAAAAATGCTTTAATCTCAAACTTAAAGATCTCATTTTTGGATGTTTTCACAGGAAAGTTTTTGCGATCGATGTTGTTGGAACTATACCTGACGAGCTCTGGACTTTGGAATACCTCACAAATCTGTATAGTTCTACCACAAATCTTGAGACTGTGTAGTGTAATGCCTCTAATGGAACTCAAAAATCACATCTTTACCTTTTTTTTCAGGAACTTGGCTCAAAATTTTCTGTCAGGACCTTTGTCGCCTGCAATTGGAAACCTGACTCGAATGGAGTGGATGTAAGGATGTGAAAGCTTCTTCCTTTTTCTTTTTTTTTACCAACATTTTCTTGTTTCTCACGCTGAATTGTTTATCACGTATAGGACTTTTGGGATCAATGCGTTGTCTGGCCCTGTTCCTAAAGAAATCGGTTTGCTTACGAATTTGAAATCACTGTAAGCTTATTGTACCTCTTGATTTTGTTCAAGTATGAGAATTTCTTCACACTGCTTCTTGATGGTTCCTTTTATATATTGCTTTCTGCAGTAGCATAAGCTCAAATAACTTTTCCGGTTCTATACCACCAGAGATTGGGAGTTGTACAAAACTACAACAAATGTGAGTGTATTTTTCAAATGTTTTACAATATGAAACCTTAACCTTCGAGATCCTTTAGTGTTCATCGACCACACAAATTCTTGCGTAATGAATTATTTTAAGAGTTTCTCTTATCTATTGCAGCTACATAGATAGTTCAGGACTTAGCGGAGGAATACCTTCATCATTTGCTAATCTTGTGGAGCTCGAAACAGCGTAAGATATAGTGAATTCAATTATAAGCTTTGTTGTTATATTTATCACTTTTTACATTTTTCTTTTTTCCTTGGAGTGATTTTTTTTTTTCCCATTAATGTTGCACCAGTTGGATTACGGATCTAGAAGTCACAGGTCGTATACCGGATTTTATAGGAAATTGGATCAAACTTACTACCTTGTAAGATAATTTATACAGAGTGTTGTTTAATGGACTTGTTCTCCATTGCATCTAAATTTTTGGGATTGAATGATTTGTACTTTTTTACTGCAGGAGAATTCTCGGAACTGGTTTTAGTGGTCCAATACCGTCGTCGTTTTCTAACTTAACTGCTTTGACAGAACTGTATGTGTTGCATTGTTTTGGTATAGTCGTTATTGTTTACCGTTTCTCTTCTTTTGTTTCTATGGCATAACTTAACTTATGTTTTCTGTATTCCTATTCTAAAGGAGGCTAGGTGATATATCCAATGGAAGCTCTTCTCTTGAATTCATCAAAGACATGAAAGCTCTAAGTATATTGTAAGGCAACTTCGATTTGGCTTCTACTCCAATTCATGATCAGACTAATGTATTGTTGAATTATTTCTCTTTTCCTCTGTGTATTTAACATTGATGTTTTATTTCGCAGAGTATTGAGGAACAGCAATCTCACAGGGACAATACCATCTAATTTTGAAGAATACTCAAGTTTGCAACAAGTGTAAGTACATATGTCAATGTGTTTCATCAAATGCTCTGAAAGGTGTGTCAGGGTCGTTTCTGTAAAAAAGAGGGAGATGATTTGTGAAAGTCACCTTAGAAAATACAGAATATTCTTAAATTAGCGATAAGATAATTTCTTGTTTTCTTCTTGTTCATTGATCCACACGAATGGTTCAATATCTTACCGTGTACCTCATGTTTGTTTTGCAGTGATTTAAGCTTCAACAAACTACATGGATCAATACCGGCTTCACTTTTTAACTCAAGTCAAGTTACTCACTTGTAAGATAATATATTTTCTGCTTTTTTTTGTGTCTTTATGTACAACTACTTGGATAATTAAGAAAAACAAATGATGTCTTCATGTTAGGTTTCTGGGGAACAACACGTTGAATGGTTCCTTGCACAATCAAAAGAGCCAGTCTTTGATAAATATGTGAGTAACAAAATCCTTTATAATCTCAAATTTCATTCATCTTTTCCTAGTTATTCAAGTTGGATCAGGTTCCACTTTTGGTAGCAACTTTGCCAAGATAATCAGGAATTTGAAATATATATGATATATTCTGTAGATCCTAAGTTTTGTACTTTATATTTACAGAGATGTGTCGTACAACAATTTGTCTGGAACTCTTCCTTCATGGGTCAGCTTACCAAACTTGAAACTGTAAGTAAACCAAAACACTATATTCATTAGCTTTCTTCATATCCAGAATGAAGCTTCCTTTTTATAGAAAATATTTATTACAATCATATGTTTGGGAATAGTAAACAACGTTGTATGTTATTTTTGCAGCAACCTAGTTGCTAACAACTTCACACTGGAAGGTCTTGACAACAGGTGATTTTCTTGAATATGCTCTTGTTGGTGCTTAAAATTCTCGTTTCTAAATTTTACTATTGCAAACGACTTATATTTTCTTTCATAAATCATTTTTTCTTTTTGTTAAAAAAGGGTTTTACCAGGACTGAGATGCATGCAGAAGAACTTCCCCTGCAATCGAGGCAAAGGAATATGTAAGTGTAACAAAGAGATATTCTCATAACCATTGTTCTCCATGTGGAAAGTAAACTGTTAAAAATCTTCTCTATTTGACTGGTGTCTAGATTCTGACTTCTCGATCAACTGCGGAGGTCCAGAGATAAGGTCTGTTACCGGAGCACGCTTTGAGAAAGAAGACGAGGATCTTGGACCAGCTTCTTTCTTCGTGAGTCCTGCTCAGAGATGGGGAGCAAGTAGTGTAGGACTTTTCGCCGGAAGTAGCAATAACACGTACATAGTTAACTCACAATCACAATTCATCAACACTTCGAACTCAGAGCTTTTTCAATCAGCAAGACTCTCTCCATCTTCCCTAAGGTATTATGGGTTAGGGCTGGAGAATGGAGGCTACACTGTAACACTTCAGTTTGCTGAGATTCAAATCCGAGGCTCTAACTCTTGGACAGCTCTTGGAAGACGACGTTTTGACATTTATGTCCAGGGAAGACTTGTTGAAAAGGACTTTGACGTACGCAGAAATGCTGGTGGCTCTGCTGTTAGAGCAGTTCAGAGAGATTATAAAGCAAATGTAACTGAAAACTACCTCGAGATTCATCTGTTTTGGGCTGGGAAAGGAACATGTTGTATTCCTAATCAAGGGGTTTATGGGCCATTGATATCAGCTATTAGTGCAACACCAGGTAACACAAATGTGCTTTTTTATCTTTATTTTCACTATCTCTTGATGCTACTAAGAACCTAAGCGTTACATATCTCTTCTCAGATTTTACACCAACTGTGAGCAATAGGCCACCATCAAAGGGAAAGAACAGGACTGGTGTTATTGTTGGTGTCATTGTTGGTGTTGGACTTTTGAGCATCTTTGCGGTTGTGGCTATCTTCATCATTCGAAAACGAAGAAACCCGTACACAGACGATGAAGGTATATTTGCAATAAGAACACATGAGCTGAAGAATCTTGTTCCTTATCATCTTTCAAATTTGTTCATTTTCATTTTTCTTGCAGAGCTACTTGGTATGGAGATAAAGCCTTACACTTTTACTTACTCGGAACTTAAAACTGCAACTAAAGATTTCGATCTCTCAAACAAGCTTGGAGAAGGAGGATTTGGACCTGTTTATAAGGTCAGTCCCATACCAAAGTATATGTATATTCTTTGTAACACCTTTTTATGCGTTTTGTTTTGTGTAAAGGGAAACCTCAATGATGGAAGAGAAGTAGCTGTGAAGCAGTTGTCCGTTGGATCACGGCAAGGGAAAGGACAGTTTGTTGCAGAAATCGTAACGATTTCTACAGTTTTACATCGCAACCTAGTAACACTTTACGGTTGCTGCTTTGAAGGAGATCATCGTTTGCTAGTATATGAGTATCTCCCTAATGGAAGTCTCGATCAGGCACTATTCGGTAATGAACAAGACATACCTGTCCATGCTTCTCTGCCACGCTAAAACACCACTCATTGTAAGCTTGTGATTGATTTGTGATGCTTGCAGGGGATAAGAAGAGTTTACATCTTCATTGGTCAACACGTTTTGAGATATGCCTAGGAGTAGCCAGAGGTCTAGTCTATCTCCACGAGGAGGCTAGGGTTCGTATAGTGCACAGGGATGTGAAGGCCAGCAACATTCTTCTTGACTCCGAACTTGTCCCAAAAGTTTCCGATTTCGGTCTTGCTAAGCTTTACGATGACAAGAAAACCCACATAAGTACCGGAGTTGCAGGAACAATGTAAGTAGCCTCAAACATTTGCGTGTAGAATTTATAACACATTTGATTTTGAGTGTTGTTGTTGTATGAGTGCAGTGGATATCTTGCGCCAGAGTATGCAATGCGTGGACATCTAACGGAGAAGACAGATGTGTATGCCTTTGGTGTTGTGGCTCTTGAGCTAGTGAGTGGAAGGCCAAACTCTGATGAGAATTTGGAGGATTCGAAAAGATATCTTATTGAATGGGTACGTTCTTGTCACAGTTTGGAAGATTTGTGATAGTGTCATGAATGGTTTAAGCAATCGTTGTATGTGTTTCTTGGTGACAACAGGCATGGAATCTACACGAGAAAGGTCGTGAAGTCGAGCTTATAGATGAGAAGCTAAGTGTGTTCAACAAGGAAGAAGTGAAGCGTGTGATTGGCATTGCTCTGTTATGCATACAATCGTCTTATTCCTTGAGACCACCGATGTCACGAGTGGTGGCCATGTTGACCGGTGATGTTGAGGTCAGTGATGTCGTTTCTAAACCGGGCTACCTAACCGACTGGAGATTTGATGACATCACCACCACTACTACTACTTCTCGAAGTGGCTTTGAAACCAAAGAGACAGGTGCTTATAATGGCTCCAAGATGTCACTAGGAAGCATAGATTCTCAGCCAATGCTTGGAGCCAGTATCAATTTAGGAAGATGAAAATGTCTGTCTTCTCTCTGATTGTGATGGCTATAGAGATGATTGTATATTAAAGGATTAATATCTTCTTTTTTTATTGGAGAAACAGATTTTGCTTTAGTTTGATTCAATTCAATAATATTCTTGGCTCTTCGTTTTTTATTTCTGATGAGAATGAAGCTAATTCAAGTAGAAGGAAAAAACAAAACGAACCAACAAATTATCAATTCGGATTCGGAATGGTATAAAGAAATTTTGGCCGGTGTAACTGGTTTAATCAAACCGGACCGAATCCGAAGATGAGGATTCTTTAGTCGAGCTGTCAATGTCGGAGTGGTATTTATTTGTCTGAAAGCGATCTGACTTTGGATAATATATATACTCAAAGAACAGCTCAATTTGTTTATAGTTAAAAGCACGTGCTTTTTAAATTTTAGTTATCCTTTCCCTTTCGTTTTCTTGTTTTTTTTGGACTAGAATTCAATTCAAACTTGAATTTTAAAATTTGGAAATATCACAGGAATCTCTCATTAGATGAGTTTTGTATTAACAATGGTATTTCAATTACTGTATATTCGTCTTTATGTGTCCTTAGTTGTTCTTTACGTCATCAAATATATCGTGTTTTGAAAAATATTAGAATTTTCAGCACCCTACCGTAAATAATACAATACCGCTATCAAAAGGCTATAACTGGCAGAAGTTGTGAGTTTGGTTTTGATTTATTAGTTGTGGTTGAGATTTTAATAAATAACATAAGATTTATTAACAAAAAAAAACTCTAGATTTTTCAACTATAGTTGAACGATGTAAATTTCTGAAAATCTATATACAAATTTAACAAATTAAACAAAACGTTCTTCTAGTTAAAAAAAAATTGATAAAATAATATATGGTATTTTATCAAGTTACTTCAAAGTCATTAAATCTTTCTAGAACTGAATAGAAATGATCAATTTTTTTAACACTAGAGGCATACACTCAATGACAGCTTGTAGCAACAAAATATTTTTAAAGAACAGTGTAAATACAAAAAAAAATGGTTTTGAAATATGTCGGGTTATTATTATTTGTTTTTAATTTCCAAAAATAAATGTACTTGATGTTACAGCTATGAGACAACATGTTATCATAAAGAAAAGGGGAAGGTTCTATGGTAGGCAGTGAAACTTTGGCTTTTTGATTCAGACGTGCACAGATCCTTTCCCATGTAAAGATAATATTATCACCAACGTGTCATTTTCTCATTGGTTGACACTTTTTTTTCAACCTTACGTAAGTGGAAACGCAGTTTAGCAAAAAATCATGTCCCCGAACACTTATCCATATCGGAAACATTCTGATCTCATGGGTCCCGCTAGACTTGTCTTCGTGTCTAATTTTCATTGGTTTATGTCAATGAGGCCCCACCTTAGCCGACGATTGTGACTGTCTGTGGATAAAGAAAAAACAGAGTACTGTACTAATCAGAATACAAATTACACACTGAAAAAGAAAAATTAATGTAAAGAAGATAATATACGGATATATCTTTTGGTGGAATTAGTATGATCAAAGATTAAAGAATGCGTGTATATACGGAAATAAATAAAGGTAATAGTAAAGAGAAAAGTATTTTGCTTTAATTTTTGTTTTAACTAAAAGAAAGGCAATAATTTGTTTTTTCTGTATTATATAATATATATAAACCCATGCGCATGACCCTTTCGAATAGAGGAAGAGAAACTAGAGTTGTGAGCTTTTTCATTTCTTTAACAACTGGACGTGAAATTTAGATTATTGAAAATATAACAAAAACATAAGAAAATAGGAAGAAAGAGTCTATCAGATACGTCGGATCCAATCTCCCAATCCGCATTGGCTTGCGAGACAACGTGGACGTAAAATACGGCCTTAGGTTCAACGTTATTTACCTTCCTGCCATTGGGTCTAAGGTAATATAGTTAGGCCTGGGCAAATTATCCGTTATATTTGCTTCGATCCGTTATCCGTTCCGATTCGATCCGAAAAATCCGGATAACCGTAATTTTACAAAGCAAAGCAAATACTAAAAATTAATATCCGTTAAAACCGGAGCAAATCACAAATACTGAAATTTTAAAAGCCGGATATCCGATCCGCTCCGTTATACATATAGATATATCTATATATATAAAATTACATATATAAATTGGATGATTGTTATGTTTATATCTAAATTTTATAAATCTATATTCATTAAATTGATTATTTAAACACTAAAAAAAATTAAAACAAAATAACTACTAATAGTTTTTTAATTAAAATTATATTTTTGTGTTAAAAATTGATTTTTCTGAAATTTTTTAAATACAAATATTTTTTAAAATATTTACGGAGTGGATAATTCACGGATATTAAACAGAGTTACGGATATCCGGATCAAACGGATCGGAGCGGATAATCCGCGGATATTAAACAAAGTTACGAATATCCGGATTTTCGGATATCCGAAAATTTTCGGATCGGATCGGATCAGAAAATCAAATATCCGGACGGATCGGATCGGATCACGGATACCTGTTTTTTGCCTAGTATTTGCTCCGTGCCCAGGGCTAAATATAGTATAGTAGATAAATGTGATTAGTGGAAGTCCTAATGTGATTAGATGTAAATGAAATCCTTTTTTGTTCGGCGGAAGTACAAAAGAATCAAAATATACAAATTAGGACAATGTGTGTACATTCATTTTTCTTGGTCATAATTTGAGAATAATATGTACATTCATTTCTAGATGTTTTTATGTATTTCCTATGACTATGAGTAACATGCCAAATAAATATTTTTTAAGATTGACCAAAGGTTGATCAGTAGTTTAAACTTTAAACTGGTGTTTAAAATATATTATGGGACAAGTGACATCATCGAGGTCCAAAGATGTCGAATAAGCCTAACAACAGTTTAGCACTATACGCGGAACCGTTTATAAACAGTGTTTATATGTCTAAAAGAAAACTGGATTCCCTATTATCAGTTATAGATCTGAGACAAATGATTCGGTTTGTTAAAAATGATTGAAGGTAATATAGATAGAGTCTAGTAGATCGTGTGTACGCATTTCGTCTTTGACCAGTGGATAGCGATTCGATTATATATGTATAAACGTTGTTTCCACTTCGTAGTTCGTACTTTGTAGAGCTTAGACTCTATATATGTGACTATGAAACGACTTGTCAACAAAACATTTCTCTTTTACTTGTTTGTTTGTATGTTTTTCTTAATTCTTTACCTGCCTGATCTTTGGACCGTATTCTGTCTTCACTTGTTTAGTTTGTTTATTGATTCGGTATCTTCTTTTCGAATCAATGTGCATAGGATGGATTAGTTTGTTATTGGTATTGTCTTTTACGAACAAAAGTTATATACTTATCTAATACGTGAGTTGTTCAAAAAAAAAAAAAAAAAAAAAAAATCTAATACGTGAATATAACTCCTAGCTACAATTTTTACGATTGTTACTATTATCAAATACATTATACTTGGTTAGGTTAAGTCTTCACATGCTTCAGAACATTCAGTTCCAAGAAAACAAATGTTAATGTGTTAATGAGACATGTATACAATACCAACTAATCATGTTAAACGGGGTATATCATTCGTATATGTGATTCCTTCATCCATCTTATGATGTTGACATTTCAATTTACAGTATTGTTTGGTTGGTTTATTTTATCAAGTTTGACAGTGATTTTAATTTCTGGTCTTGGATAGGTCCATTCAACCTTTTTAGTGGATTACAAAATGATCACAAACTTACAATGAAACTAACCTAAAACTCAAATTTATATACAGTAAAACATCTATAAAGTAATAACATTAGGACAATCATATTTTATTACTTTATCGAGATTATTAGTTTATCGAGAGATAATTACACCAAAAACTAAATTTGGGATTTAAAATTTTTATTCATTTATCGACGAATTATTAATTTATCGAATATTACTTTATAAAGGTTCTACAGTATCCAACTATATATTCCACACTAAACCATGATTTGAATATGTATGCTTTGATAGATATTCTGAATATCGAAGAAAAATAATAAAATAAAACGACCAAATTTACTATTGTTTAATTTATAAATGTTCAAAAAGGGACCCCATATATCCATATAAACCCCAGACAATAGGTAAGAAGCGAGCTGTAAAATTTAACTTAAATGCCAATAGGATTATATTAAGGATATAATATATTCTGCAACCAAAAAAATACAAAATTTGGTCCACCACACCCACATAAAAATATTCATCTACCAACCCAAAATTAGACGATAAGAAGGTAAAGGACACTCACGTAATTTCCTATAACGGCGTCCCAAGAGACTATCCAAAACATTATCGCGAAAAAACCGTACAGAGCACAAAAGCTACGATGATAAATACTAAAAAATAAAGAAAAAGATCGTTAGAAAACGTGTATATGCATATTTGGTATGTATCGTTTTTATTTATAATTTTCTTGTTATCGCATTTCTCTCTTCTCTCTCTGTATCTTCCTCTGAGTGGAGCGAATATCCGAAATAGTTTCCGAGTCTCTTTCGTCCTCCTCTTCTCGAGCTTCTCACTAATCTGTTTAACGGCAACAAATAAAAAACACATCGGTTTAGAGATCAAATACCACGGCGAAAGGTGAGTCTCCGGCGATTTCTCCGTTGTTATTAGACGATTTTTTCTTCTTGTGCTCGTTAGAGATTTCTTACGACTGTTTATGTATTTAGATTTTCCTTTTACGTTAACTGTTTCATTGATGTGAAATTAATTTTCATTTTGACTCAAAAACGGTAGATATATTTTTTTTAATGTGATCTTTTTCTTGATCTGTTTATTGGGTAATTTCGAGATTTGATTTAGCCTGAAATGTTGATTAGGAAAGGTTAAGCTTATGATTTTATCATTTACGAATCGATATTCGATTCCCTTAAAAAAATCGATAGTAAGTCATAAATATTTGTTTTTGGCAATAAAAGCATGTTATGAAAAAAATCGTTCTTAAAATGGAAATGTTGATTTGATGTTTCGTTATAGAAAAAATGAATATTATGGTTTATCTTGTACTAGAAATTTGCAGCAAGAAACAAATGCTTTTGTCCATTTTTTTTTTAGTAATTGATATTATTTTATTTTTTGGTTCAGTCTTTGTCAGGTAGTTGAAGGAGACACAAGCTCTTTAGCTTTGGTCTCCTTGTAGTATCAAGATCTTGTACGAATTTTCTCGACATATCTTCTTGAGACCTTTTAGGCTTCCCTCAAACTCCAAGAGCTCTTCCTCACGTCATGACTGTTCCCGGAATCATCTCCGACCTAGTCGGAGACGGCGGCGAAGTAACTCCTTCCTCCGGTGGTGGTTCACGCGGGAGAAAAATCATTGTAGCGAACATGTTACCTCTCCAAACCAAAAGAGACGCAGAAACTAATAAATGGAGCTTCACATGGGACGAAGACTCTCTCCAGTTACAACTCAGAGACGGTTTCACTCAAGAAACAGAGTTCCTCTACGTCGGATCACTCAACGCAGACGTGTTACCAAACGAGCAAGAAAAAGTCTCGCAGAGACTTCTCGAAGACTTCAACTGCGTCGCAACGTTCTTGTCTCAAGAGATGCAAGAAATGTTCTATCTCGGCTTCTGTAAACACCAGCTATGGCCTCTCTTCCACTACATGCTCCCAATGTTCCCTGACCACGGAGATCGCTTCGATCGCCGTCTCTGGCAAGCTTACGTCTCAGCGAACAAGATCTTCTCGGACAGGGTTATGGAAGTTATAAACCCTGAGGATGATTACGTGTGGATTCAAGATTACCATCTCATGGTGCTTCCTACTTTCTTGAGGAAACGTTTCAACAGAATCAAGCTTGGCTTCTTCCTTCACAGCCCTTTCCCTTCCTCTGAGATCTACAGGACTTTGCCCGTTCGTGACGAGATCTTGAGAGGTTTGTTGAACTGTGATCTCATTGGCTTCCACACGTTTGACTACGCGAGGCACTTCTTGTCTTGCTGTAGTAGAATGCTCGGTCTTGATTATGAGTCTAAGAGAGGTCACATTGGGCTTGACTACTTCGGTAGGACTGTTTACATCAAGATCCTTCCCGTTGGTGTCCATATGGGAAGGCTTGAGTCTGTTTTGAATCTTCCCGCTACCGTGGAGAAGACGAAAGTGATTCAAGAAGAGTACAGAGGGAAGAAACTTGTTCTTGGCATTGATGATATGGACATTTTCAAAGGCATTAGCTTAAAGCTTTTGGCGATGGAGAATCTGTTCGAGACGTATTGGAACTTGAGAGAGAAAGTTGTTCTTGTTCAGATAGTGAATCCTCCAAGATCATCAGGTAAAGATGTGGAAGAAGCGAAGAGAGAGACTTACGAGACTGTGAAGAGGATCAACGAGCGTTACGCTACTCCTGGTTACAAGCCAATAGTTCTGATCGATCGTCTTGTTCCTCGGTATGAGAAGATTGCTTACTCAGCTGCAGCGGATTGTTGCTTAGTGACTGCGTTGAGAGATGGCATGAACTTAGTGCCTTATAAGTACATAGTCTGTAGGAACAAGGCTCTTGACTCCACGCCAAGAACTAGTACTCTTGTTGTGTCTGAGTTTATCGGATGCTCTCCTTCTTTGAGTGGCGCTATTAGAGTGAATCCATGGGATGTGGATGTTGTTGCTCAAGCAGTGAACTCTGCTTTGAAGATGAGTGAGGCAGAGAAGCACCTGAGGCATGAGAAGCATTATAACTATATTAGCACTCATGATGTTGGTTATTGGGCAAAGAGCTTCATGCAAGATCTTGAGAGAGCTTGTAGAGATCATTATAGCAAACGCTGTTGGGGGATTGGGTTTGGATTAGGGTTTAGGGTTTTGTCTCTGTCTCCGAGCTTTAGGAAGCTGTCTGTGGAACACATTGTTCCGGTTTATAAGAAAACAGAGAGGAGAGCTATATTCTTGGATTATGATGGCACTCTTGTCCCTGAAAGCTCCATTACGCAAGATCCTAGCGGTGAGGTTCTCTCTGTTTTGAAGGCTCTTTGTGAAGATCCTAAGAACACTGTGTTTATCGTTAGTGGAAGAGGACCAGAGTCTTTAAGTGATTGGCTATCTCCTTGTGAGAATCTTGGAATAGCAGCTGAACATGGATACTTCATAAGGTGAATCTTGCTTCCTTCCATGGATGTTCTTGAAAATAAACGTTTTCTTGATTAAACTTTATGGTTTGTTTGTGGGGTTTTAGGTGGAATAGCAAGAGTGAATGGGAGACTTGTTACTCGTCAACGGATAGAGAGTGGAAGTCAATGGTGGAGCCAGTGATGAGATCATACATGGAGGCAACAGATGGAACAAGCATAGAGTTTAAAGAGAGTGCTTTGGTGTGGCATCATCAAGACGCTGATCCTGACTTTGGAGCATGCCAAGCTAAAGAGCTTCTTGATCATCTAGAGAGCGTGCTCGCGAACGAGCCTGTTGTTGTCAAGCGAGGTCAACACATTGTTGAAGTTAAACCACAAGTAAGTAAAGAAAACTCTTATCTCTTTCACTTTGAGAACAATTTGTTTGTTTTGAATCTTTGCCTCATTGTAGGGTGTGAGCAAAGGTTTAGCTGCGGAGAAAGTGATTCGTGGGATGGTGGAACGTGGAGAGGCACTAGAGATGGTGATGTGCATAGGAGATGATAGATCAGATGAGGACATGTTTGAGAGCATATTGAGTACAGTGACGAATCCGGAGCTTCTGATTCAGCCAGAGGTTTTTGCATGCACCGTGGGGAGGAAACCGAGCAAAGCTAAGTACTTCTTGGACGATGTGACTGATGTGCTTAGGCTCTTGAAAGGTTTGGGAGATTCATCGAGCTTAAAGACAATATCTTCTAACACACAAGTCGCATTTGAAAGCATCGTTTAAAAGTGGTTGCTACAAAAAAATAACCAAAACAACATAACATCAAAAATGTAAAAATGGTTTTTCTTTTTCATTTTTTTGAATGGCTTTTGAGGAATTGTGTTTTCTTCTTTCAACTGTCGTTTTTTTTGGGTTAGATTAGGATTTGAAGTTTCTCTGTATAGAAACTAATTTTTTTTACTTCTCTCTTTAATTAAAATTGAATTGTGGGCTCACTTACTTCAAGTTGTAGTCGTTGGAGGGGTCCTTCACGTGAGAGCCAACTAGAAAGAGTAAATTGTTGATTGTCATGTCCATTTACTTTCCCCAACAACGATCCTCTTGGTTTTATTATACTATCTTCGACGGTCGTCATGGCTCGCACGATATTTATCACTATTGGTTTCTTTTTAGGCAACTCAAATGGATAATAAGGTTTAGTCCACATATAGCTCAACTTGCTAATTTCCAGCCCATGAGGTTCAAGCTTCACCAAATTATCAACTCTCACATTCCTCAAGATTTTGTTCGAATTTATTTTTCTTTCTATTATTAGACAAAATAAAAATAATGATCAAACCTAACAAGTTATTTTGCAACAGTGTGTTTTTATTACTTGGGTTAAGTGTAGGTTTAACTTTTTATGAATAGGGTTAGCTCATGGTGGCTTTGTAATTCATTTTTGTCCCTTGAATGTTAATCAAATTTGATCACGAAACTAACAATAATTTAGTTTATCTCTCTAATGATAATTTACTCTTTTTACATTTGGAAACTTTAGGACATCACAATAATTGTTATGTGTGCTTATTTTATAATATTTCCTATAAAATACAAAAGAGTCTCTTCCTCGATCTTCTTCTCTCGAGTTAAAGTGATTTATCAATAAAGATGAAATGGACCATTTTTCACCCTCTTTTCCATTGCTCTTTCTCCTTTTTGTGCTTTTTTCATTTCCATAAAACATGTTTTTTCTATAAATATGATCTTTTTGGTTCTTATTGTTTACTACTTCACTTTGTGCTCCTTTTCACACTTAGTAGAATCAACATCCAAAGTTGCTTTAGTAGCTAAATAATCTCAAATGTTCCACCTCACATTTTTCTGTTTTTAAACCAGGTTTTAATTCATTACATACTAGACAATATGTCAATACGACAATATCTACTTGTACGTTAATTTAATATGTAATTGAATCACATCTTAAAAGTATCTAGAAACTAAAAAAATACATTTGATCATGGCATGTATCTTTTAGTGATTTGTGCTACTATCGTTATTGCATCATCATCCAGGACTAATTTTGTATATTACACGTTGTTAACAAAAAAAACTAACAAGTGAAGACAAATGTAAAATGGTAATAAGCAAAACAACAAGTTAATTAACAAATGAAGATTAGGCAGCGCGAAACAAGGATCATGGTGCGAGAATATATGCACTGTTTGACCTAGTCGTAACTCAATAACTCATTATGTGTATAGTTACTACTTAATCCCCTTAATCGCATTAATTAATCAAGTAAAAATAGACAGTTACATGCGTACACATGGCATAGTCCAAAAGGATAATCCTCGACAAGTGGTTTCAAGTAATTGGATAGTTCGTTTGCCGAGGTAGTGGCGAATGGCTGCTAGACAGATGAAAGTGATAAAAGTTAAATCATTCAATTTGTATATTTTAAACGTCATGTTCAGTTTCTAAAATTGCGCACCAAATGTTAATTATGGCCACCACTCTTATGTGTATTTAGTGATTAGTAAACTAAACATGATTAGTAAATTATCAAGTCACTGATAACTTCCATCGTCATACTGTATGACATGATTTTTTAGGAAATGTTACAGAAATTCTTTTGAAAAATGATTTTTTTATTTCCTTGTACTGTATGAAGAGAAAAAATTGTTGTTAATTATTTAATTAACACACTTTTTGTTTTTGTCAAAGATTTAAATTAACCCACTACAAGATCATCAATATAATTACCAAATGAAACCTATAATAAAGTGATTTATACGGAAAAAAAGCTTTGGTGAGGATTTTATTGAAAAAATGACAAAAGATGAGCAAAAGCTTCAAACCAAAAACTCTTTTCTTACTAAAAAGAATATAATCTTTACCCAAAAGAAACTAATAAGTATATAACTAAAAACAAATTTTGTACTTACTCTTTGATTGTGGAATATATTCCATAACATAAATAAACTGGAAAAAACTGATCTTTATGCATAAAATACCACCAAAGTTAATTTAATCACCAGAATATAGTTGGGAATTTATTCTTCTAAACTCCAAAAGTTTAATTTTTGGTAAGCAAGAAATTAAACTAATCAACAACCCATAAAAAGAATATTCATTTTATTTAAAATAAAATAAAGCAACGACGTTGATCGCATCACATGACCGCTCTTTAATTTTCATTTTTCTCTCTCGTCTCTACCTTTCCTCCTTCCTTTTCTCACTGTGACTGTCTCTCACTCTCTTTTGCTTATGAACAAACTCTGCAAATCTAAACCTCTCTGTTTCCTCTTTTTCCTAATCTCTCTCTCTCTCTTTGATCGAGAAACCTGAAGAACAGTCTATTTTAAACTTCGCATTGTCCGCCATTCTTCGTTTCCCCAGAAGATTCTCTGTATGAACTAGGGTTCTTCGTTTTTTCCCTCTGCCGCTTCTTCTTCTTCTCCAATGGGTAGAGATTTTCTGGTTCTGGGTATTCTCATTCTGCTCTTTTCCGGGTTTGTAACTTCAGCTCCTTCAGCTAATTCTCCTGCGAGTAAGTAAAGTCTACACCTTTATTAACAATCTCTTCCCTTTCAATTTAAAATTTCAATCTCTCTGCTTAATTCTGTTCGAAATCTCACTTCTTTCGCAGAGATTGTTTCTGGGTTTATCTCGAATCACGGCTCTTCCCTCATGAAATGGCTATGGTCACTCAAAACCACCACCAAAACAAGTTCGATTTTTTTTCCCCCAAGATCATGTTTTTATGCTTTTTTCTCCAGATTAGGTTTCTGACAAATTTTTGATTTTGAAAAAATCAGCAATTGCAACGAGATCGATGGTGAAATTCGAGAATGGGTATAATGTAGAGACGGTGTTCGACGGAAGCAAACTCGGAATCGAACCTTACTCGATTGAGGTTTTGCCTAACGGCGAGTTGCTGATTCTGGATTCTGAGAATAGTAACATCTACAAGATTTCATCTTCTCTTTCACTTTGTAAGTAAATGATAATTGACTTTCAAAGTCAGTACCTTTAAGAGAGATTGAAATCTTGAGATTTCTCTGTGATTGTCTTATGTCATCACCTAAAACTGAATGCACATGGACTGTTATTGTACAAGATGCTTCATGAGAATTACGTCTGAGCTATATTACTATTTAATGCAGATTTTGCTGTATCTTTGTCGTACATGGAGTGAGATTGTCACTTGTCAGTGATGAAGTATAATTTTTTAGTACTGTTTTTGTTCGCTGAATCTGACTTTTTCAAAGATGAGATCTAACACAAAAAGTGGTTCTTTCAAATAATGGTCAATAATAGAAACAAAGTCATGAAGTCATTGATCAAGGGAAATAAAAAGTTTGTTTCTTTTTGCGTATAAGCTGCATTTCAAGAATCTGCTGAGTTCTTATTTTGAAATGTTCTTCTATAAGTTAGTTTCTTTATGCATGTAATTCAAGAAAATCCAACTACTTGGCTGAGTTCTTGATTTGAAAATGTTTTCTTGTGTATGTTACTGATGAGAACTATTGTTGAATCACTTGTAGATAGCAGGCCGAGGCTGGTTACTGGCTCACCTGAAGGATATCCAGGCCACGTGGACGGGAGATTACGCGACGCGAAGCTGAACCATCCCAAGGGTCTTGCGGTTGATGACAGAGGAAACATATATGTAGCTGACACAGTGAATAATGCTATCCGGAAGATAAGTGAAGGAGGTAATAATAGTTTGAGTTTGATTGTTGACTCATTTGTTATCTTGGTTGCTGAGTTTTAAATGCTTATACCGTGTAGGAGTTACAACAATCGCTGGTGGCAAAACGGTTCGCAATGGAGGACATGTGGATGGACCGAGCGAGGATGCAAAGTTTTCGAATGATTTCGATGTTGTTTACCTTGGAAGCAGTTGTTCCCTGCTTGTGATTGACAGAGGAAACAAAGCCATTAGAGAGATTCAGCTCCATTTTGACGACTGTGCTTATCAGTATGGAAGCAGCTTTCCTCTTGGTAAATCATCTTCTTCTCTTTCTTTCAATCATTCTTTGAGTCTTTGTCTCTGAATTCAATGCATTGCAGGTATTGCAGTTCTCGTAGCTGCAGGCTTCTTTGGTTACATGCTTGCTCTGTTGCAACGAAGGGTCGGTTCTATTGTCTCTTCTCATAACGTGAGTGTGTAAAATCTTCATTAGAACATCTCAAACTGTACTTCTGCTAAAGCTATTAAAACGTTTCTTTGACAGGATCAAGAAATGTTTGAAGTGGATCCTGATCAAAAGCCTATGAAACCGTTGAGACCGTCTCTGATTCCAAACGGAGACGAGCATCAAGAGAAGCAAGACGAGAGCTTCTTGGTATCTCTAGGGAATCTTGCTTCGAATGCTTGGGTCTCTGTGATGGAGATGGTTCGGAGAAGGCAGTCAAACACCAGCTATGAGCAGTACAATGGAGCAATGAAGCAGTCTGCTGCTGCGTTTAGCACAGCAGCTTCATGGCCGATTCAAGAGAGCTTTGTGATCAGAGACGAAGACGGACCTCCTCCTGTTGAGCCTAGGAACCAAACTCCAAGAAAGACTTATGCTTTCATGTCCAAAGACGCAGAGAAAATGCAGCAGCTGCGTCAGAGCCGTGCTTTCTACAGTAGCTGGGACGCTGAGTTCCCAAATCAGCAGCAACAGCAAAAGCAGAAGCAGCAGCAGCAGCAGCAACATCATCGAAGGCATTACTCTTCGATCCCACATACTTACTATGAGCAAGACAGTGAAAAGACTAATGAGATAGTCTTTGGGGCGGTTCAAGAACAGAGCAGCAAGCGTGTAGCTAAGCCTAAGGAGTCTGGAGATCAGATGAGTAATAATATTAATAATCATCAGAGTCTTCACTACAGAGCTCATTCTGTTAATTACCCATATGGTTACTATCCATATACATGAAGAAAGTCTCCTGCTTTTGTGAGTTTCTGGGGATGGTCAGGCTTCTATAATAAGATTATGATGCAGGGAATTAGAAGTTTTGGGTATAGGTGGGGCTTTTGAGATTTATTGGGAGGGAATTGGGGGGAATTTGGAGTACTTAGGTGCTCTTGTCTTGTATGAAAAGTTGCAAACTTTGATTGTATTTGAGTAATATATAAATGAAAAAAGATATGATCTTTCATCTTTGTGAAAGTCCTTTTGTAACTTCATTTCGAATTGAATATTCAGATGAGACTTGTTTACATCATTGTTAAGCATAAGATTTCTTTAACTTCCAACATCTGCAAAGCTTATTAAGTCATCATTAGATTCATCTGAGATGTTCATCATAGGGCTTTGTGGTAGTGGACTAAGAGCAAAAAACACATGAATCGAGAAGCGAGTGGTTAAGTTGCTTGATGATATTTTCACAAAGGTTTTGGACTATGGAGAAGGTGTAATCAAAATTCAAGAAAGTAAGGGACATGAAGTGATGGTAATTTGTGATGAAACTCTGGTTGATAGCACAAAGTCTGGGTGGTGTAGTCGGTTATCACGCTAGTCTCACACACTAGAGGTCCCCGGTTCGAACCCGGGCTCAGACAATTTCCTTACTATAGTTGTGTTTTCCATTTTTGTTACCAAAAAACAAGGAAAACTCTGGTAGAACAAAGTGCTTCAAAGACTCTCAAGGTTCCCTTAAACATGTGAACAATCAGTTGTGGACATTGTAGGTAGTCCTTTGCTTAAATCTTTGTATATTTTTGGTTTAAGACTAAACTAATATTAATTCAACTCGAAAATGAATTGTACAGAGGAATTAATTTTGACCTTTTTGCGGCTTACACAAAAAGACACAATAACTAGTCGATTTAAGTATTTAACTCATAAATATTCTTGGTGTCTCTAAATTTTCTTACTCAAATGCTCAATTTGGTACAATTCAACATCCACGAGGGTAAGTTTCTTCGTCTTTGGCAAGGTTTGAATGGTAAACCTCCGCACAAAGAATGAGGATTATATGAATTTGATCGCATCATATTATTTAGTCAACTAAGTTCAAATTAGTTTCATTTTCAGTAAATGATATTAAAAATACAATATATTATATTTCGGATTACTTTTTTGATTGAAACAATACTAACTTATTCAAAAGAGAACCCTCCTTTATCCTTTTGGGCGAGTGTTTATCTTTTCTCCTGCAAACCATACATATATATATTTCCAAGTAACCTAACCACCAAAGCTTCACTGAATTTTATTATTATATACTTCATAACATAGACGAAGAGCCTTAAAATGGATAAACAAAACTAAGAAGTTCACATACCATATATCATAGAATTTTGAGATTAGTCAATTTTTCTAACAAATTGTCGGATAATTATATAATAAATATAGACAAACTATATAAAAGAAGGAAAATAGGACATAAAGCAAACTCCAAATAACATTCCATATACGGAAAAAATAAACTTCATAGCTATTAATTGTACTGAGAAGGAGAAGAAGAAAAGTGTTGTGATCTTCAAAGAGAATACAAATCGGAGACTGCTTTAAGGAACCTAAGCTTCAACTTCAAGTGCACAATGTAATCAACGGTTTTTGATAAAAGAAGATCCGGGTGGTTGCATCTCTGCCCGCCCGGTATCAGTATTTGGAGCCTCCTCACCTTCATCTGGAGCAAACCGGATCCTGATCCACGACCCGTTTTGTTGTTCTTCTTCTTAGACATCGTCTGCTTCACCATCCTCCTCTTGTTTCTCTTTGACTCCTCCATTGCCTTTTTGTTTTGTTTAATGACAACACTTTGGAGTTGTGATGCAAACGAACGTGCGGGTGGTCCATATTTATAAAGAATCTGCGCTTCTAAACCAATCAGAGGCTTTCACTTATTTTTTGTTTGTGTCTTTTAAACTTCGTGCAATTATAGAATTTGTTGTTTTTTTTAACATGGTCGCTTACGTCCACACGCTCGATCTGTTTGTCGTTTTTATTTGTGTGATTAGAAAGCATTATCCAATACAGAAAGATATTAGCTAAATTTGTATTTAATACTTATATTGCATGGGTTCAAATGTTCAATTATCCCAAACAATCGAAAGATATATAATCACGTGCTTGATTGATTCACTATATTTTTCTTTTGTTATAGATGATTTGAGCATCTGTCTGATCTTCTTAAATACGTAATATTATGAATCTTTTTAGTTTGTTTACTTTTACCCATGTTTTTATGTTAAGATTACAATAACCAAAAAAAAACATGGATAAAAATTACAGATACTACAATAATAACCTCTAAAGTCTTGAAACGGCCTGAATCAATCAATAGGGATGTAGGATGTAGCAAGTGATCGTGCTTTACATTGTATAACTTTTTTTTCTTCCTGTTACGTTTTTTTTTAGTTAAACTTAATTTATACTATTTCATAGCTTATTTAATTAACCGTAACATGGCTTGGTGATTAAGAGGCCAGTAGACATCACATCTTCATGAATTTACACTGTATATAGGGTTCTTCACTCCAACCTTATAAATGTTTATCCCAAAAAAAAAAAAAAAAATTTATCTATGACAAGTTTAGCTAGGGTTTTAAAGGTGCGAAAGGGAAAAGCTAGAAATGGTTCTCCACAATTATCACTTTCCCTCGCTATAATCTGTTTTTAAACCGCAGGAAAAAAAGGTTAACAAACAAGATAGCTACTGAAAAGTGAACTAAGACCAATGATCTTTGTATGTAGTGAGATTGATAAGAGTAATTGAATGCAAATGTGTGTGTTTGTGTGTGTTCCTAGGAGTTGGGGGGTGTTGTTAATTGGTTTTTGGACCGACACTATGCAATGTTTGTAAGTGCCAACTGGACACTAGCTACGCACGTGTTTCGACAGCTTAGCATTTGCAAGCTCTCTCGTTTGTATACCATCGGTGCTAGCTCGACATTGACGTGATCTCTCCTTTCTCTTTGTCTTTTTCTCTCATTAATGTCTATGGATTCTTCCACATAATACGTCTATCATTACTGGTATATATTGGGACTACAATGGTTACAAAAGTCTTTTCTTATCTAAGTCGAACTAAATACAAAAAATAAACTATTTTCAACTTTACATATGCTTAGACATACGTAATGTTTAATTAACCACAAAATTGTTATAAGAAAAATAGGCATACCACCGATTACAAGAAAGTTTATTACTAACCTTTCATATAAGTAAATTTACAACATATAGATTTATAAAGAGATACATAATAGAATCGGTAAACATTTTATTTGTTTGGTTAATGGTTGAACGTAATCAGTTAACATGGATACAAATATTTACGATATCTAAGATTTTCTTTATTTTACTAAAATCGGATCTTTGTCATCCCCATTCATTTTAGTCGACTTCTGAGCATATAATTTTATTGAAAGAAGACATGTAGACGAAATGGACCACTCTACGATTCACATGCATTTGTATATATGATAATGATCAAATGATGATTGAAGAAGGATCGATGAAGGCAAGTGGGCTTATAGTTTCGAGTTTAGGGCATTGACAGCCTGACCAGATGGCTATGTGCGAGTGACCAACGACCAATGGGGTTACTGTTATTACCCCATCGGCAAATCGACGTGGCTGACGTGGCCACTTGGGTCCCATCCTCAGACCAATTTGCTCACCGTCAGGTCATTATATTGCCCATCCTTTCAAGTTTTTTTTTTTTTTTTTTTTTTTTTTTTTTTTTTTTCAGTATAAATTTTTGGACACAGTTTATTTATGTATTGTAATTTAAAATATTTCAAATGATCATAGATTGATCATGAAAGTGGAGAGGCACCGCAGTCTACGGAAAAAGGTCCCTACTATTGTATGTTTCCCTCTTTTGGGTGATTTTTGGGTTAATTTGGCGGGATCCCGGAACAATTTTTGGAAATATATTTTAATTTCTTCTCATAAGAAACATAGTAGTAATTTTAATATGTCTTACTAAAAATTTATGCAAATCTAGCTGTTCACTAGTGTTAACTTCTTTCTTTAAAAAAAATGGATGTGGACGATATATTCGACTTTGTGCGCGTTACTTTAGAAACTACTTCCATTCAAGGTCTGGTCATATAGACTATTGTTCGAAAGAAAAAGATTAGAGACAAACTTATGGCAAAAATTAGTTTATAGGAACAAAAGAAATCCTGAAAGGTGCAATATATAATAACAATGACGTTTTGAGCTTTTAAACCAAAATTAACAGAAACAAGAATTCTCATTCAGCACCTAAAATAATGCGCACAAATTTATATATTTCATGTATCAAAATTTTGAAAAAAAATTATTTTATGTTGAGAATAGCTAGTGTTATATATATGCATGATTTTTCTTTTTGTTCACATTGTCTCACTTTAGTGTTTGTTTTGATTTTTTTCGTACAGAAATCTAAGTTTCTACAGAAATGAATTAGTTTTCTTAGGTCAACTGTGTTTGTGTATATAGGTTTTTTAGTAAACACAACTGTACCATATTATGATGTTATTTCATGTTGTAATCTGAAGTACGTACGACGACTAGTTTGGATGTGTACAGTTGTCACGTACATTTGAATGTGAAACATCAATCTATGAATCATCATTCATAGTTTCGTACATCGCATCCAAACAAACAAAGCTCTTCCAATCGAGATCAATTTCTATATTCTAAAAGGAAAAAAATCGTCTCTAGACGACTACTCAAACGGAGTAATGGTTCTGCGAGCATGGTGCTCTAATGTCTACGGTTTGATGTTCGAATTGTCTGTATATGTGTCGTTGAGTTCCAATAGCAATGTATATATATACATATGGTATTGTGGCGCTTTTCCCAGTTAATACTATAGGCTTATAGAGGAAAATTATATATACTTAAATAATCGCGTTGCACATGATGTGTTTATTCCCGCAATATCAAAAGTCTATGATCGATTCTTTTCTCAATAAAAGTATAAATTAAATGAATTGCATGATACTAGACTACTGTTTTAAAGTAAACTGATGATGGATATTTGTAGGAGTTGATCGGACCATGCATTTCTTAAATCCTACCATGTGCTTTGCCATAACGTTATAATATGATTAAGATCTTATAACAAAAACTGTTGATTAAATTCATTTTTGCCAGCTTCACTTCCCATTTAGCCCATACGGATATCTCTACCAGCACAATAATTGGTATAACCTTCGTTTGGTTAAGAGACGCCACTAGAGTTATCTTAATGAATAGATCGATGATGATGATACTCATGTGTTTGTTGCAAACGTTTAATTGGTTAGTTACATCAACCAAATTAACTCAATATATACATATCTTCATGCATGCGACCCATACTCTCATGTGTTTTGGCCAGCTCAGTGTCCGCCGATTTAATTCATTTTTATGGATAGTCGAGCCGTTTAACCCAAAAAAAAAACAAGAAACATTAGTTTTTGGATAGTGAATGGTACGTGCTTTGCGAATGTTTGATTGTGTTTATCTGTTTACGCTTATAGTTTTTTTTTTTTTTTTTTTGTAAAATAAACCCACAATAAATTTAAACAAGTTTATGTTTTAATTGTAAACCTATAGACATGGTTCCCAAACAATGAAACAAATATATAAATTTCCGGTTATATTTGGCATTTGGCTTTTGTTTTTCTTGTAGAAGTATTCTTTTTAGTTTTCTCTATTTCAATTTTATAGATATCTAATCTAATGGAAAAGAAATGTATTGTATATAAGTTGCGTTTGAAACAATAGCATTATGGGACAGCCTCAAATACCTTTAATGGGCTCTAGCTAGGTTCAAAGAACTGCACATGTAGCCCATTTCTTGAGACTCAAGTTAATAGATACAACGTCAAAAAGAAAGTATATTACTATAATTATGAAAAACCTTTCAACGGAAACAGTCTCTGTCTATAAAATGAAAGTATATTACTATGATTATAAGATTTCCAAATCGAAGCCTAGACCAATATTTAGAACAAGTAAACATTGAACATTTTTGTTATTTAAAGAAAGGGATTCACAATAGTGAGATTCTATTTCTTCAATTCCTTGATAAACCATTCAGCCACCATATATATCAGTATGAATTTGCTGTATTTTATTTATTTGTAACAAAAAATTCTTGTATTTGGAGCTTAATTTGGCCCTAATACCGCGATGAAGAGCCGCATTGATATATATATATATATATATTTATTTTGTAAGTTTTTTTTCTTTATTGGTGAACCAAAAATTTATCCGATACAATTCAATAGTCAGCAGAAGAACATGTTTATAGATTAATTGGTTTCGTTCATGGCGAAAACAAATTATATAAATTGCTTTCATCATTTAAGATGTATGGTCACTCAAATTGACCCATTGGTCAGAGTTCTGATCCCATTTGAAATTCAATATCATATTTGAGATTTACGTACTACTTGAGAATATTACATCATTTACCGCGGCATTAGATGATATTCTGAAATAGGAACATATATGTCTCCATACTCAGTTTTGTATATTTTTGTTGTCTAGTTGCCTAATTTTTCCTGTCTTGCGATGATTTAAGCAAAAATATAATTGTTGTGAGGTTATGTAGTCTAAATAAGCATCATCAGAAACCGGCCTAGCGTCAGACCTAATATTTAGGGATTAGGGAAGAAAATAATAAAAACGTAGAGGCATCATCATAACCTAACATTTGTGTTGGATGAATCTGAATCCACTAACCATTACAGTATCAAATACTTGGACTGTAATGGAGGGGTTGACAGGAAATGATACCTTTCTATTCTTCAATTCTTTTCTACAAAAATATCAAGTCATCAATTTTATCATTATTCAATTTGAACCCCAGTATCTTATATTTTCCTTCTGTAGGTCCCAAATCAACCGCAGCCAAGAGTAGACAAAATAGTCTGGCCCACCGTATAAATTAATTTGCCACGTAATTACAAGATTTTACGTTGCTTATGTCAGCCAAATGGTTTTTGTTTTCTTGCGCTTAAAATATTAGTTCAGGTTCAAATGGATATTTTGAACAAAAATTTGTGCTTGCAATTCTAGTTTTAAAATTAGTCAGTGGAAGTTAATTAAGGTAGTATAGTATCCCATGATTTGTTGTCGATTAGTAACTTAGTTATAAAGAAAGGAAGTAAAGGTCCAGTGAGATATTTGATTTGAAATGGATCGTGTTTAAGGATGTAATAAGTAATAAGTAGTATTACTAAGTGTACCACTAAATTATGTGAATGCATATTATTGGTTATTGTATTTTAATGTTGTAACATGTTTGTGGATAGATCGATGATTATAATCGCAATGGGTGTACTCAAATCGCTGATTAGTTGCGTATGGTAATAGTTAAGCCTGATGATATATTAGGAGAACCCACGAACGTTCAAAATTAATCATGCTCTCCTAATACGTTATAAACGAATTGCGACGTAACTACATAAATAAGATGATCTTCAGACCGTATCACACTATTTGGATTTATGTTTAAAGTTTAATATGACGTAAGCATCTTACCCTTAGTGCAATGGTGGAGTCACTCGTGTAGCTTCATCACGCATAAGTAGCTTCACCTCTTCATGAAAGGTTATATCTGAAAAATAGATAATGATAAATATAAAAAGAAATGTATGACAATTCCTCCTCCTTCTATATATATGATTAGAGAAATTAAACCAATGATTTCATATCTTCTCCAATAGCATTTGAAGATCTCTTCACCTCTTTTTCTCTCTCCTTCTCTCTCTCTGTATTTATCTCTATATCCCGAGATACTTGGAGCTTGGAAACGTCGTGCCGTTTTCTTTATTTGAAAGTCTAGAGGGAGAGAGATGGAGATGAAGGTTAGAAAGGATGAGTTCATGCCGTTTGTGGCAATGGTGATAATGGAAGCATGCACGATTGCTCTAACGATAATGACGAAAACGGCTTTAACCGGAGGAATGAGTCCTTTTGTGTTCGTTGTTTACACAAACGCATTTGGATCCATTCTTCTTCTTCCTTTTTCTTTCTTCTTTCACAAGAATGATAGGTAGGCCCACGTTTCATATACTTTATATTTAAGTTTAATTGCTCCTAGCTCATTTATCAATATTGATTCCTTCTTGATTATTTTGGTTTGTATGATGATAATATTGCAGAACTGAAGAATCTATCTTCTCTTGGCCACTCCTCGTTCGTGTTTTCTTTCTAGGTTTCACCGGGTGGGTACACCATCTCTCTGTAATAGTAAATGTTTTTGTTAATAATAGAATCTATCATTTAGATTTTGGGAGAAAGACTATAGTCACAATACTTTCCAATATTGCCTTTTGCAATTAGAAGAATATATATGAGGTCCTAAAACCAAAAACTATACAAGGACCATGTTGCCAAACCCTCTAGCCATATATGCATTAACCACTCAATATATGGTTTGAAGAATATTTTAATGACATACGTTTGCCACGTCGTTAATCGAAAACAGACAAAAAAATGTTTGCCGTTTACTATATATATTACAATATGAACAACTAGGCTTGATATGTTCTATAGTATTTACCACATCGTGACGTTTCTTTATGAGCGGCGGCGCATACATCGCAAACCATGTTTTCTTTGTGTTATTAATAGAAAAAAAAAAAAAAAAAAACTGCATGACGTTGGGTGATAATGATTTTCCCTCTTGCAAGCATACACGTCATTGCATGCATTTGTAACGTACTTAAAAGTGTTGTTCATGCATATACATAAATACATAATATACACATGCGCTGGTTATATATATTGAGACACATTTTGAATATGTGTAGGATATTTTTGTTCCAAAATTTGGCATTTGTGGGACTAAGCTTTAGCTCACCCATTGTGGTATGTGCAATGGGATTGCTCATTCCTTCCTTCTCTTTCCTGCTCTCACTTTTTCTCGGGTAAGCCAGCGTCTCTCATTCCCATTTCACAATCTCTATAACTTTATTTGTAATGTTTAATCAAATAATATATAATAGCTATCTATGAATATATGTAGAAGGACTAAGTTGGATTGGAGAAACACGAGCACGAGGGCTAAAGTGATGGGAACAATAATTTCAATAACCGGCGCATTTGTTGAAGAGTTGTACAAAGGTCCCTTCATAAGACCAGCTTCTTCTTCCTCCCCAAATCGTCTACTGAAATCAATCCCTAAGCTTTTGGTCTACTACAACATCCCGGACAATTGGTTCCTCGGGTGTATCTTTTTGGCAGCCGCCGTTTTCTGTGTCTCCCTCTTCAATGTTATTCAGGTATATTAAAAAAATACTAATACAACCATCAACTACTGAAATCATCGTTATGCTATGCATGCATGTTATTTAGTTTTAATATTAATATTTCTTGTTATTTGTTTTGTCTTTGGCAGACAGGAACGGTCAAAAAGTATCCGCATGTGATGAAAGTGGCTTCGTTCTACAGCATAGTTGGGACGATCCAATGTTTAATGTTCTCGTTGTTTATGGAAAGAGACCTAAGTGCATGGAAGATCCAATCTAACTTCGATCTTTTCCTCATAATCGCCACGGTAATGAATCCATATACTTTAAAATAAAATAGGAAATACACAAGGTCATCGTAGTTATAACGAGTTTAATATTAGTGACTATGACCATCTGTAAAAACAGGGAATATTCGGATGTGTGATACGAACAAGTGTACATGTAAAATGCACCCAAATGAAAGGACCATATTACCTGCCATTATTCAAACCCTTTGGTATATTTTGGGCAACACTCTTTGGCACCAGCTTCTTCGTCAACAGTCTTCACTACGGCAGGTCCGTTAATTTATAGACTTATTCATCATCGTAATTATTAATTAGCATGCATGAATGAGTATTAACTATTTATTGGTGCATGACTGCAGTGTGTTAGGAGCAGCCATAGGCGGTGTTGGATATTACACAGTGACTTGGGGACAATTAAAGGAAACCGAAGAAAAACAAAATCCAAAGGAGGAAAGAAAACCGATCAAAACTATTCATGATCACGACTACAAAGTTCCATTGCTTATTAATCAGGAAGAAAGTCCTGTGTAAAATTTTGTATAATATACATTTTTTAGTGAAAATGAGGCCGTTCAAATATTTTTTTGGCCCATTTCTTTCTATGGTGTGAATAAGAAGAAATGCGTGTGAGAGTGTGCTAAATGGTCAGTGTCAATGGGAGATTGCTGAAGTAGGCTTTTTGGTCCGAAAAAGCTAAACCCACCCAATGTATATACATGTCTTTAGATATCTAGAGGTCTCTATTAGTCTATTATGTTTCTAAATTCTATGTAATCTCCTCAATCATGGATAGGTTATTGTATTCCCGCTACTGAAATTGAATCCAATGTATATACATTGTTGAAGTTGTTTGATGCGATGCGAGGAATCTTTCATTTGACTACTATAAAACTAATTAACATCAAAGAACGACTATGAGAAATTTATTTGGAAATTAAGTTAAACAATAACTTCTTTTAAATGACTAGGCTATTTGTTGACAAAAAAAATGACTAGGCTATTATGACTTTTTCCCCTTATATTTTTTGAATAGTTTTCCATTTTTTTCTTAATTATCTTTTGAATGTGTATGATATAAGTTAAAAAAAAATGTATTTTAACCAGAATGTAAAAGTTAAACTTATATTTTTTTCAATTTATATGTAAAGGAAGCAACCCAAAAAGCCAATAAATAGGAAAATATCATAAGAACATCTCACAATGACCCATATGAACTAAAAAGTGGATATTTATAATTCTTCAAAATTATAGTCTTTTTAGCTTGTTGTTTTCTTGCAGAATGGATATGCAAATGATCACCTATGAGGACTTGCACGTTGGACTCCATCACGCTATGCACAGGCCCTGTACAACAAACTAAATTTGATCATCACTTGCATGGAGGCTCTAGGCAATCTCGCGGACATGACGTTGTACTTTCCACTAAGCTTGTGTGAAGGTCATTTCCTTGATTAAGCATGTGTTAGATTTCGACAATTTCCTTGATCCTGAATCGATTGGGGTAGAGTAGATTTGGATTTGTTGGTGTGATTTCATATATTGTGTGTACAAAGTGATTAGTTGAGAGAAGAGTTGGTGGAAGTCAGTGATAAGGACTAGTTAGGATGATTCTGGATTGTTATTTCATATTGTTGTGCTGATTTCATATCCTTTAAAATTAAGTGTGAGGGGAGGGATTTGAACCCTGGTTAGGGTGTTAGAGAACAGCTCATGCCTCTTTTACATGCAGACTGCTTCGGTGAGAGACTGCTTCGGTGAGGGACCTCAATGTCTGGACTCCGCTCAACAGAAGCTCATGTGTCTCAACATCATCATTTAGCTTGCAGCCTCATCCTAGTCAGTTGCTCTATGGCTACGTGGGGATGAGGGGCACTTTCTGTCAGTGGCCATTCACTGGTGGACCTTCTTTGTATCTTACCCGTCAGGTCTTCCGTAAGATTTCAGCTCCTCTTGAGCCTGAACTTCCCACAAACGAGCTGCTCCAGCCTTAGCACCCACAACCTCCTGATTCTGATGATGAAGACCACTGTTTGGTCTTTTCAAAACTCTCTCTATGTGTTACATATTATGTTTGCTTGTTTTTTTACGTTTTAAAACTCTCTCTCTCTCTCTCTCTCTCTCTCTATGTACTATGTACGTATTTTCGGATGTTTGCTCTTTTTTTTTAAACTTGGAATTCTGTACTGATGTTCGGATGTTTATCTTATGTTAGCTGGATGTTTATCTTAAGTTCGCTCTTTTTTACTCTGAAACTGATAGTTATGTACCGATGTTGGGATGTTTTATCTTATGTTCACTCTTTTTTACTCTGAAACTTGAAATTTCTACACATTGTTTTATTTGGGGTATTATGCGTGATGAAGCATAATAAGCTAGTACCGTTAGAATTTAAACTACAATCCCATACCCCCTACTTTAAAGAGGGCTCATGAGCAAAACAATTAGCCCTGTTTTGGATTCAGAACTCACATGTTGCGTTTATATTTGTCTATGACATTTAAGTTCATACAATCTAGGAAAATGTAAAGTAAGATAAACTCACAAAAAAATCCGTCTCTTTGTGGACAAATTTGGTTAACTCTTCTACTGTGCACTTATTTTTTGTTTAAAATATGAACAAAAGCTCCAGTTCAGAAGCAACTCCTTTTCAAACAAGAAATGAATGTTCCAGACATGTAGCATAATTATTTAGCAAGGCAAAAACATTAAGAAAACAGGCGAGACTCGTGTGACTGCTTAAACTTATTGAAGCAAAAACTGATTAATATCACATGGAAACTAAAATTCTCTCTCAAAAACTAAAGAAAACAAACTCAATGATCATGTGTTACTAAAGCAGAATGCAAAAGTAATTCGGAGTGGTCATCATCAGATTGACATCCCTGGAAGGTAAACACATTCTCAGACCATTCTACCGAACCCAAAGCCTTAGAATAAGAGATATAATCAATTAAAACCTCTGCACACCATATCTGCGTTTCACATTCCGTACAAGTCTTCCACCAAACCGTCACTCTGTTTTCTCGGCCAGGGTTTGCCACCGAAAGAAGATAATTAGAGGATATTGCTTCAAGTCCCAAAACTCTATAGAACCGTTTCCGATAACCGCAAAGTAGTTCCCCTTTGTGAACCATTGCTGTCAACCATAAAAAATTTAACCCTCTATGTTTCGGTTCGCAATACTTATGGAAATAGTCTGTCGCTATGTAGCACTTGATGGAAGTGTAATTAATTTGTTGTTGAAGAAGAGAGCTTGAGAGATACTTGATGTTGATTTCTTCATCGGTGAGATACCTCATGGCGACTTGTTCATCGGTGAGATACCTCATGGCGACTTGTTCATACTTAAGATACCTTAAGGCGACTTGTACATCGGTGAGAACTCGTTGTGTTGTTGGCTCCCAAGTTTGTGTCTTCGGGTCATAAACCTCTCCGTAGTTGTCCGTGTCATAGTACCTGCTGCTGCAGCCTCCAGTCACAAAGATCTTACCGTCGATCACATTAACGTCTGCTTCTTTCCGAGCAAGAAGCATCTTGGGGAGTTTACGCCATTGATGAGATTTGCAATCGACAATAAACACTCTTCTGCTTCTCCTCTTTCTTCCATTCACGACCAGTCCGCCGCCGACTATATAAGTCTCTAAACCAACGGAGACAACAGTGGAGGAGTTGAGATGTTGGTAAGGAAACGAAGGGGTTTGTATCAACTTACGTTGTTGATTGTGACGTGTTGTGGAAGAAAGTATGAACCAACTAGGGTTAGGTTTGTTTTTCAGATTTAAGCAGACGTGGAGGTACTTGTCAGGTTTTCCGATGCGTGAGCGTACGTCCTCGAGGTCAGGCGAAGCCAGGATTGGTCGGAAACTCTTGGAGACAAGAGATAGAATCGGATAGTTGATTCTCGAGATCCTAGCCAGAATGTTGAGGACCACGTCGTACGGTAAGGACAGAAACGACATAGGAGACTCAGATGATGATTTCTTCATCTTTCTTTGGGTTTTTGTCAGTGGTGATTCACTCATCTCTTCCGTCGCAATTGGAAGGGAGCTTAGATTTACGGCTTTTGTGGCTAGGTTCTAATTTTTATATTTATATGTAAACTTTTACTAGGGTTCGGTTTGGTTTGGTTTACATTTTTTTGTAAATAGTAATTAAACTCAAAATGTAAATTGTAAAATGTTGGAAAATTAAAATTAGAAATCGATTTTGGGTGCGAGTTTGATCTTCGCTTCACATCTGTATTTTTCTGAAATCGGTTCTCTTAATTGGTGTGACTTTAATCCAGAAAAACACAAATATTTCGATAAGCTCAAGACAAAATTTCTTTCTCTTTTTCAAGGAAGGACCATGCTTGTTACTCCCTCTGTGATTCACTGGTGGATCTTCGTAATGATCATGAGTCCAATGTTGCCAGGTACTTCCCCTTTCTTTTCCATTGTTGTTTGATTAAGGGGAAAACGATTTCTTTTAAGCCTGCGCTCAGTCTCCTCTTTATTCTTTTATATCTTGACGTTAGTGAAAATCAATTGAAAACTAGATTTGGGCATATGGCCAATTCATGCTACAAAGATGATGGAAGAGGTCAATCCAGGAACATGTGAGCTACAATTTGCTAAAGGTAGTGCAAAGAAAACACAACACCTATCTCCAATATCTACTTGAATGAGAAGATTAAAATTCTGATTTTTCAGACTTCTAGAGCAGGAAATTACATACCTTCTCTGCTATTGTATTCTTTTGTGATTTTGTTCTATCTGCAATCTGTTTAGATTTCTAAGGAGATGATTTACCAAATCCAAATAGCAACCTTAAAGCTTCGATTGTTTTAATCTATAGCCATCCATTTATCTACTACTGAGAACCCTCATGTAAGTTGTATATTTCTTTGTCTTCTTACAGCAATATATGCAGGCTGCACAAAAGCTTTCATCAAGCATCTCATATCTCTTTAAATCAGGTGAGAAATATAATACTCTCCCTCTGCAAAAATTGGGTTTTGTTTTCTTCTCTCAAAATGCTCTGTTTCCTAGGTTCTTTGGTGATCTTTTTTTATCTTTCTGAAATATTGTTGATTTAAGAGAAATTTGAGCCGTAGACTTAATTTCAGGTATGCAATACTAGATGAATTTGATTGTTTTGGTGCAAGAGTGCATACTGAGACACAACAAATTCTGCAATATCAAGTGATCAGGTAATAAATGATATGTAAATATCTTTTGTATTATACTACCATTTAACCTTTTTTATAATCTTTCAAATTTTATTTTGTTTTTTTCAGGCAAATATTCAAAGAGCTGCAGTTTGAAATATTGATGAGTAATAATGTAAATTGTACTTAGGATGTATTACACTTTCAAGAATTATACTTGTATTAAAACATGTCGTATTTGGTTAATAGTATAAAATAGGAAAATATCATGAAAATATCTCACAATGACCCATATGAACTAAATTAAAAGTGTTGGATATTTGTTGTTTTCTTGCAGAATGAATCTGAATGATCAACAATGACGACTTGGACGTTGGAGTCCATCACGCTGTGTACCGTCCATGCACCACCAACTGAATTTGATGAAAGCTTGCTTGCAAATCGATTGGGTAGTGTTGGATGAAAGCTTGCTTGCTGCTCAAGTCCTATTGCTTGATGTAGATTTCATGTTTGATTTAAATGCAAGTATAAATTGTACCCATTGTAGATTTCGAAAGTTTTAATGTTTCTATAGCTAGACATTTACATGAATCTGCAAGGTACAAACTACATGGACCTGGATGTGGCTGTCCACACGCTGTTCACCAGTCTATTCACGGCGAGCTCAATATGGAAGAGATGAATCAAATACTCACCTGCATTGAAGGACTGAGAGCACCTCAAGCTCAAAGTGGTAATGCCCGAGTTGCTTGCAAACTTCTTTCTAGTGGTGACTGAACCCAGAACAATTCCAGTTAACACAACGGGTCTGTATTACACTCTGAAAATCCCAGTCAGAAAATGGGACGCGAAGATCACCCCCTAGTATATAATATTTTACTAGGGTTTAGGTACTCAGGTGAATTCAGTTTGGTAGGATGTTTTTTTTGCTTATGACATTCCATGTTCTTCGTAATTGACTTGGTTAGGTTCTAATTTATATATTTATATAAACTTTTAGTAGGGTTCGGTTTGGCTTTAAGCTTTTTTTTTTTTTTTTTTTTGTAAATTGATAATTAAACCAAAAATGTAAAATGGTACTAGAATTTAATTATTAAACTTTTATAATCTTGCAAAATAAATTATCTCCACTAGTTACTCAATCGTTAATACTATAAAAAATGATTTCAGCTAAAAATCTATAAATATGTATTATAAGAAAAAAGTCGTTTTAAAAAATTACATCAAATATTTAGATTTTCTTCCGGAAAAGCTGTATTGTAATAGATAGAAAATTAAAATAAATTAAAAACGTTATTTTCAAAATATATCTTATATATAATTAGGTAGTTCTCTCTTCATCTAGACTATCCACATCATTAGGGCTGGGCACTGGGTAAGTACTTGCCATTTTTGATGTATTTACTACTTGCCTTGCCTTGTGTAAATCATATTTATTTAACAATATATATTCATATCTAAAACATAAATAAAACTTAGAAAATACAAAAAAAAAAAAAAAAAAAAATAGTATAAAGTATGTGATAACTTGATGTTAAAAGTTAAAAGTTATAATATAAAATGAAGATAAACTAAAGAAACATTTAAATTGAAATAATACATTCAGAAAGTGGTATAAAAGAATTATCCTATTCAAAAATGTTATAATGTGTTTATGAATTAAAAAAATGTATAATATAATATAATTAATATAGTAAAAAGAAAATTATTATATGTAAATTTTATTGCAACGAAAAAACATGTAAACTTTAAAGATTGTGATATGTTTGTTTCAAAAATACAATTTATATTTACAAAACTAACATAATATAGAAAGTAATCAATAGTCATCATGCTTAAACGCTAGCACAACAAAGCATATACTAAAAAGTTATACATGTTATTTTAAATCATATTTCATGCAAATGTGATTCTTTACCATATTTACAAATTCTAATGTCCAGTCAAATGCATACTTATAGTCTAAAATATGTTAAATTTTAGATAGAGAAAATTTGAGATAAGTGTGGAATGTAATTAAAAGAAAAAAAAAGAAAAAAAAAACTTGATCATATGAGTGATTGGATTAACTTAAAACATAACCAAAAGTTAAAACAAAGCCATCAATTTAAATTATCAAATATAACTAAAACTAAACGGAAAAAATATCACAAGCTATTTATTTACTTTTAAGTTAAACTTAAAACCCGCTACTCTTAGGATACGTTGATGGCCAAGTGGCCAATCTACTCAAGACAAACAATGTCTCGTGAAAGACAAATAACATATGTGGGAGAGGATAAAAGGACAAAAACACATCTCTGGGTCTTATGCGCTCTGCACAAATACAAACCCCGAAAAATACCTGCAAATTTGCATATAATAACGTCACACATCTCCTCTAATAAAAGCCCATTCCTTTCTTGGCAGTTGCCACTTGATTCCACAGAGTCCTCTTATAAAAAAAAATTCCACTTCAAATAGGCAATTACATCAAATCAATTAGTAAAAAATTGGCTCAATTATATCCTTTTTTTTTTTTTTTTCAAATGGCTCAATTATATCCCTAAGTTTTCAAAAAAGTAGAAGTAAACTATCGAGTTCCTAGAAATGTTCTCTCGATGACATTACTACTAAGTACTAACTAAAGTAGGTTTCTTTCATATACAACAAGTGAAATTGTAATTATATATCTTTTAAACAACAAATTAAAAACAAAAACAAGTGGAACTCTAATCATAATCACAGCTATGATCTATCTAAGCCCTATTAAAATATAACGAGCTTGCTAATGGCACAATAATTGAAAGATTGGACCATCCATTATCTTACAACAGATTAGTTACATGTAACTATTTGATTTTCAACATATTGCAAAGAAAACAGAAAAAAGAAATTGTGTTTATTGTACTAATCCATTGTTTAACAACGACACAAAAAAAGTATTATCCATGTTTTTGTTTTCCGTATCTAATAATCAAAGAAAATAAACTACCTACATTTCAAAGAAAAAAATGACTACACCTTTTGTCATATGCATGTATAATGATATCACAGGATCACTTCCACAATCATCCTTCATCATTTAAACCCTTCATCGCCGCAACATCTCGATCATAATCTCATTCCACGTGTCGACCGGACCAGGCAAACACCAATGTAAACAATCATTGTGAACTCTCTCCGGCACACCGTTCTTGAACGGGTCCCCGTACATGTACGGACCAGGATGTCCGTCCGGTCTCAACACCGAGATCGCCGTCACGTCTAACGCCTCCAACCTCACACCCGCCTCCACCGCCGCTTTCGCAGCAGCAAACTCCTCCATCTCGATCCGCCGCATCTCCAAGTCCAAACCTTCTAAAACCTTCCCTTCTCCGTAAGGCTCCGTCATGTTACACGCGTCGAGACTGTCCCAAGGCCGGCCTTCGAAATGCGACGGCGAAAACGTTGTCAAGATCACCTCTCGACGTTTTCCGGCCACCGCCTTTAGCGTCGTTCTTATCGCTTTCCTAAACACATCGAAAAACCCTATCTCCGTACAGTTGCTTGCTTCGCAAGAATGACATCCCAAAACCGAACCGGACTCGTAATAAACCGCCGGATGCAGAAACCAATGTCCCACGGAGACCACAACCGTATCGATACGCTCTAAATCATTCCCCCACTTCTCGTCCACACGGTCTAGGTGCAATATATTGTGGTCCAACTTTCCCGATTTCTCTAAACCGGCCACAAGAAACGGGGACCAGTAAACCGAGACCGTGACGTTGTGAGATTCGAAACGCCATTTTCTGAATTTATTGTCTTCGCCGTTTCTGTAAACGAGATCGGGACTAGAGACGGTGGAGAGCAAACAGATGAGAGACTCCAGCTGGTTTCTAGCCATTGAATCGCCGACAAAAGCCAGATGCTTGTCTCTCATAAGATCAAGAAACCGGTTCGCGTCGAATCTCGGTATATCGCATTGGTTCGGTTTCCATTTCCAGTAAAGATAACCGGAATCCGGTCTACCATGACGGAAACAGTTTTGACCGTCCTTGATCGTTCCACAGCTCGAGCCGTTGTAGAGTGGACCAATCTCGTCTCTTACCCATTTCCCTTTTGTATAATCGCATAAAGCTTCTTCCTTTACACGATCAAAACTTTCTTGAGCTTCCTCTTCTGCAGATGGATCACAAAATACTTAAACCATTGATATACACAATCGTATTGAATCATTTCAATTTTACCTTGAGAAGAAGAAGAAGAGTAGTTTGTGATCACAACATGGGAAGCAGAGTCTTGGAGAGAGGTGTCAACAATGGCGGAGAATGAGTTATTGAAACAGAGTCGAAACAGAGCTATTGGTAGAAATCCCAATACTATAAAGACAAGGATCTTCCTCTGACTTACGCAATTATGTTGCTCTTTTGATCCCATTTCAGGAATATTAGAACAAACTTTTCTCTTTCTTGTTTTTGTGGCCTTTCTTGATTTTCGGTGTTTTGATTATTGATATTGTGTGTTTTTGTTTTGTTTCCAAGTATGTGTCACATCGGTTTTTGGTTGTTGTTGTGTTTTTTTTATGTGGAAGAGACGTGGTTCAATGGTTTTTGGACCATGGGAGGAATAATATTAGACAAATCTTTTTTTAATATTAGGCTATTCTTGTCAATGCTTTTTTTTTTTTTCGGCTATATTCGCACAAACAAACCATCTTTAGTTGTTAAATTTTTATAATATTTTAATTAGTTTGTGGCATGTGGTGGAGCAGCAACAAGTTGTCTATGATCAGTGAGTGGCCAGTCTGAAATTGGCCTGACTCTGATGGCTTGACTCTGGAAATTGGTGGATTACGGAATTAGCCCTTAATGCGGTGCGTCGATGACATTCTTTGTTCCTTGCGGCTGTCAGGGTATAACTGTCTTGTCTGCGTTCACTGAAAGTGGTCTTAGTCAATGACGCAATGTAACGTGAAGCGATGTAATTTGAGGTCTGTAGATCAAAGAAAAACAACAACTCGTGTCTCTGAGGTCTTTTCTTGAATTTTTAGTATTTCTTTGAATAATAAAAACAGCTAAATAAATAACTGTTAGATGAAAAACTGATCAGTACAGTTTGACAGTTTGTCATAGTTTTGTAAGGCCTTTTAACCAAAAAAAATAAAATAAAAATAGACACCTTTTTGTACGGTTTTAATGATTTTGATGGCATAGTCAACGTATAGATGATTTTACCCACCAACATGTAATGATTTTTAATCATTTTATTAGACAGTGAAAATTTTCAGATAATATTTGGTAAAGGTGGTTTTTGGCAAAATAATATTTTAAATTATGAGAAAGTGAGAAATGCCTATGTATCAGTATTTCTAATTCAAACACAGATTTTCATTTTCATCACCATGTAAATGCGGTCTAGAAAAGCAATATGGTAATTGATTTGATCGGTTTTAGCGTCGAATGGCAAAAAAAAGAAGAAAAAAAATCGTGCGTTGATAGAAAAGATGGATGATTAACACTGCTAAAATAATTGTCCACTACAATCATAGCTGTTAAACGGATATTGTATAGGATGAAATTAAACAAGCATCATGTGTAGAAGGCATGTGCAAATGGACTCAAACAGCATGTGATCTAATATGTGTTCTAGTTTTTCAATGAGTGGTTCGACTTGTTGTCTTCATCACCGTTAACTTCGGTCCATCCCTTTTTTCATGTGCCGTCTTCTTTACGACAATTCACATTTGTAGCCAACGTCCTAATCATCTTTATTAATAAAATCATCACAACTCCGTTTAATTAAACAACTTTCATGTCGTCAGTCACAAGTCTGGAAAGTTATTAAGTAAAATAATTGACAAAAACAAGTAGATATGATTTTGGAAATAAATTGAGAAGGGATTAATAGTTCTTGGGAAGTTTTGCAAAAAAAATATCATGTTATAATAAGATAAATAATATTCTCTTTTTTTTAACACTTGTAAAATCTATAGTGTTTTTGAAAACTCAAAGCGATTAAATAGTCTAAAATACACCAATGTACTGACGAAAATATCTTACAAAATTTACAAATAGTCATGTGAAACGATTGTTAACCAAAGGAAAAAAATACCTGTCTTCTAGTTCTAGACATTAATATCTGACTTGGACTAATTAGACGTTGCAGTTAGATACTTCAAATTAATATTTTATATTTTTTTGCTAAATATTCATCTCCAAACAAAACAAAAAAGACCAAAGATTTAGAACCAACATTCAAGACTGACACTCAGGATTTGAAAAATCAAAAAGTAATGACAGGAGGTAATGGTGATGTAGTAGCTCACCAGCTTCCCCATCTCTCTTTTGACAAACTAAAATGATTAGTTTAAATTATGCCAGTTGGACCACTTCATTTTCATGTTTATATCTTTACCATAAACATCTTAATATTTGTTTAAAATTACAAAAGTGGATAATATCTTGTGAAGATAATAGAAATGTCATTCAAGTTCTTCTCCAAAACAAAACAAAATACTACCGTCACAATAGATAGTAGCTAATTAGGCCCCTATAATCTCAGATGTTAATATGGGCCCATATAGCTTCAGACGAAGGCCCATATACGGTTACTTTGACGCTGAAGTTGGAAGATATTCTTCAACCGTCAGTTTAACAAACCGCGATTTATAAACCACCGGCGGGAGCGAGAGGGAAGTTAAATCACCGGCGATGAGTCCAACAGGTGTAACGGTGGCAGAGGGCGACGAAACGGGAGAGATATTCGCGGTGGGGAAGGCATACGAGGTCCAGCTAGCCACCGGAGTCGAGTTCAAGGGGATCGTCTTGGCATACGATTCCGATCCCAACATCGTCATCTTCCATATCCTTCTTTCGATATTACTCGCAGCTCATAGCTTCTCTCTTTGATTCTTCCTGCTAATTCTTCTTCTAGAGAAGTATTATTCGAGATTTCGGACTTGAATTTTTCGATTATCCTTGACGGAATACTGATTTCACAAGACGGAAGTGTCCCGGAAAAAGGCGATTCGATGACTACGCGAATGGTGAATGCGAGTTCCATAACCGCGCTCAGGTATAAGAAGAAGTTCAGTGATCCGCTCGCTACTAAAAAGCGTTTGATCGATCTCGATGGACTCCGAGCGAAAGAGGAACTCGCTATCAGGTGATTTTTTGTTTTTGGTTTAATCTCTTTCGGATTCTGGACTTGTTTTGATCAATCCAGCTGAAGAAGAAACGTATTACGCAGGAGTTTCGAGAGAATTGGTGTTGGTGTTACCAAAGAGGCACAGAAGATCTTCGACGCATTGTCTAAGACGTAAGGATCTTTTGGCTCTTATATTGAATGGTTGATGATAATTTCATTGTGTAATCCGATTGTTCCTCGAAATCTTGTTATAGTTTAGGTTAGTTCTTTTGTGAAGAAAGATTGATTACAGTTTTACTGCTACGGTTTAACAGGTTTTACGCAGATGGTTGTTGATTTAAGCTTAGATGGTCGAATTTGTCTCTGGCTTTGCTTCAGTTGTTGCTACTGTAAAACTGTAAAAGTGCCTGTAAATCAAGATCAAATCTTGAATCTTTACTATAGTTTTCTTGTCATGACATTGCTGAAAAGAACAATGTGCTATAAATGTTTAAGTAGAATTGTGAAAGAGAGTAGTCATGTTATGAGCTTTCTTCATTGTGCAATTATCCTGATATTGTCTTGTGTTAGTTGATGAAAGAGTCAGGACTACGAATTGATTTTGTTGGTTGCTACATTTGCTCTGTTTTAAATTGAATGGCTATGTGATGGCTGCAGATTCTAGGCTTCCTGTAAAGTGGGAGAAGAAAGACATTCTGGTGATGGGAGAAGTGCGTGTTCGTAGCCCTTACGATTCTGATTGCGTCGCTGGAGGAAGTAATGCTGCTAATAACCGAGTCAAGAAAGTGGTAAGTGTCAATACCAATGTAGTTTCTTGCATTTTACCACGAGATGATGATATTTAATACAGTTTTTGTGTCACAGCTGAAGATGGAGAGAGAGAAGTTGCAGCTCAGTAGTGGCACAGGAGGCAACTGAAGTGTAAGTAGCTGAATAGACTGAAGAAGTACATAGACCATATATGCATTTGTGTAGATTTGTTGCTTCAATGATTAGTAGAGATTGACAAGAAGAGAGAGAGAGAGAGAGAGAGTGTTGGTGTTTTCTTCTGTATATAGCTTGAATCCTCTAAACCAAAACAATACACGTTTAGAAACATGCTGGCTGATTAAAATGAAGTCAAAATATTTGCATTTATTTTTGTTACATTGAAACTGAGAGCTGTATTAGAAGGATTGGCTTGAACTAATTAAGACTTAGGATAGTTAATCTTGCAGATCAAGAACATTAAGGACTTTGATCTCCAAAAACTATGGACTTTAGGAAGTGGAGCCTTTTCTCAAGTACTTAGCCCAATCAAAACAATGACATAGTGATTAGAGGAATGAATAATTTAATTGTGGATGGGCCTATGGCTCTTACAAAGTCACGTACGCAAAGAGTGTTACATTTTCCTTTTGTCTTTCTTTAAGCTTTCTTCTATGCAATCCACTTTAGCTTTCGCTCCATGAAAAAAATAAATGCCTTTTGCTTTCAACTTTCTCCTTTCTTCTTTCTCATCCCTTTGCTGAAATCTCTGTAAAAATTTCAATCTGAAAAAAAACTTACAATCGTACTTTATCGCTTTCACTCACTGTGCTCATTACTTTTCTTTTATGCTCATCTTCTTTCCCTCACGTTCATCCCCTTTTTTCCCTTACACTCTTTAGATTAATCAGAAAGAATCGAAAACTATTCTAATTGTTAAGTTGTGGAGTCTAAATTGGAGTATAAATTACGTTTCTTTTTTTAAGAGCTAGAAATATAAAATAAAGTTGTAACTTCTTAATTATTTTGATCATAGTGAAATATTCAGCGGTGAAATGTGGACATAAGTGAACACACACGTGTGTGCCGCGTGCGAGTGTTGTCCTTGTAACAACATGAATAGGTGGGATTAGGAAAAGAGTGATCGATGATGAAACAAAGGACTTTGGTAAGGAAGTGTCAATGTCCACTATAGAAATTACAAGGTGGTATTGGTGATATGAAAGTGCAAGGAAATCAGAGTGACCAAATCTTGGTTTGTGACCATAAATAACAAAAAGCAAACCCACAAAAATTCCTAAAGTAAAACACAAAGGAGAGACGCTCCCTCGAGAAACTAAGTTCACTCACTCTCTCACGCCCTACGGGGTCGGGCCATGCCACCATTGCATTTTCCTTTTCTTTTCTTTTGTTTATTATTCCTTCTCTAATATCATCTAATCACTTTATATATTTCTTTCTACTTTTCAAGTATCCAAAGTTTGATTATTTTAGTGAATATATTGTATCTTCTTCTCTTAAAGATTAAAGGTAAAGAATCCATGTGCAAACTTTGTTGCTATATGTTCTAGGATAAATTCCCTCGAATTTCTTTTTTCTTTTTGTTTCGCTTTAAGAATAACCCATGTTAACACATGCTTGTGTATGTGGGTTAAGCCCGTTACGTAGATGTGAGATTGATACAAATAAATTGCATGGAACGATAACATGTACGTTGCGTATGTATAATGAAGAAAATATGAAAATAGGAAGAGATGAGATATGAAATATGAATATAGAAAAAGGCGGGTGGGTTGTATTATATATGCTTCATGGTTTTGAATAGTTTAGACCTAGGATCCTTCACTTTTAACACTAGTTGAGAATAAAGCAAAGCCTTTCTGATTTTATTCCTATACTCACATCCACGTGATGTATACATTACACACTCACCTACATGTGTATATGTAATGTAATGTAATACTACTAATAATTTCTATAAATTAAAATGAATGCAAATCCTGTCAATATATAATGTTTGTTTTCGTTCTCTCAGTCTCGTTAATCATTCTCATGAGATATCGTTGTCCATTAATGTATATTCTGGTTGATAAATTAAGTGCTGGTGAAGTGTACGCATAATGCGAAAAAGGGGTCTAAATATTAATGCAGATAATTTAGAAAGGGATGCAGTTAATGGCGAACGCGTGTACCAAACTACAGGACAAGGGTTAATTAAGATAGTAATTAAAAGATGATTGTCTTTATATGCTGATATATAAGCTATCGGTCCCTTTTGTGTCCCCGTGTATCCTAATCAGAACCGGAAAGAGGATTCAAATAAAATAAAATGCTAATAAACAATGATGGATGGTAATCTCGATCGCTTGATATGTCCAAATGCGTCGGCTGTCATTATTTATTTATAATTAGCAGTTGCTAATCACCTAACCACCAAAGTCTCTCTTTACTTTTTGCTTCATGTTTAGATTAAACAGTAGTGCGTGAATCTTCTATTCTTCCTCATCCTCTTACTTTATAATACTACTATTTTGTATTTTTGTTGTAACAGTTATCTTGTACGTATATTTATTCATAAGTCAATCAGGGAGGGTCGTCTTCAGCAAGTCATATCATATCGATGCTCTAAATAAGTTACAACGTTACATACCATTTGCATATATATATATTCATGTCATAAATTTTAAGGTGGCAACTTTTTCAAGAAAAATAAAAAGTTAATAATACTGGCTGTAGGCTGTAGCCTGTAGTACGGGAGTAAAAGTAGTAACACAAATCGTTACGTACATTTGGGTGGAATCATATCAAAACCTGGTAACAGTGGATGCTCAATAATTTTGATATGGTACATATACAATGATGTCAACACTCAACATCAGTGTATGGTTGAAAAATGGGAAAAGTGATGTAAACTAAAATAATAAATAAAGAGGAGAGGAGCGTCATGAGCATATGGAAAGTAGATTACGTTGTTAAATCCGATAGAGAAGTTAGGAAGTGTGTAAAGCATATGAGACGCGTGATTAATTTATTCAGGGAAAGGAAAAAATAATATCGCTGATGAGATAACAAGTAAACCGTATTATATACTAAACTAATCATTTAGAATTAAGGAGATGGAGACATTATCTCGCCGTGGGGTTCACATCTGTCGGAACAAACTCAAACTAGGTTATATGGGTTTTGCAGTAAATTAAGTTTTGATATTTCTTGAGCTTCTTATTTTCTGTTTATTTGTAGATTTGTGCAAAATAGGCAGAGGCACGAACAATTGGTATTCGTGTGGCTAAATGTCTGAGGTGTTCGAGAGAGAGAGAACGGTGTTGCTACGTTATGGTTTCGTGGTGAGACCACTTTCTCTCTGACATGTAGACAGATCAACAATCACATGTATGCTACTGCTCCTATTTATTGTTCATCAATATTCGAACCAAGAGAGACATAAATATTTTGACTTCTTGTTTATCACTTCTTTTCAAATTAGTAAATCTAAAAGTATGTGTTTATAAACCTGTAGTTAAGAAACAATTGTTTGTTGGATTAGAGATTTTACGAAGGGGCATAAATGAATGAAATATCAAATAATATTTTCTTCTTCTTAAGCATCACAAATGAATGAAATAATCTATAAATACTTAAATACTTTCTCCATTTGGCCATAAATTCAATCAATATTGATCACTTTATCAGAAAAATAAATGAAAAATCCAAATTTGTATATTTTGTCTTCATACGTTCGTCGTTCAATAAAACATATTACTCGATCCACAAGCTCAACAGGTTCACATGTTTTGTGCTCCCCACAAACCACACCAATCCAATCTCACCACTCTCTCGGATTATCTCTCTCTCTCTCTCACGTCCTCCACACTAAATTAACCATTTCTGCGACCATTCTTTAGTTTCATCTCCTTTTTTTTTTCTTCATTAAATTGAAGAAAGCTCGTTTTTATGGAAAAACTATAACATTTCAGAAACAAAACTTTATATTTATATATACACATACGTGACACCTTACACGTATGCATATGACATGAAAACGCACCGTGGCAAAACTCATTCGGAGTCCACGTTACGTGTTAAACCAAAAACACAAAATAAACATTCCCGCCAAAAATAAAAGATTTGAAGAGAAATTCAAAAAAAAAACACGTGCGACACACGCCTCCGGCACGTGAAGTCGCACACAAAGGAATCAAATTTTATCAAAATATCACACTCCCAAAAAAACAAAATATATACTCTCGCAACTTGGAATGGTTTTTCGATTTTTTCCCACCCAAAGGAGCTTCGGGTCCACAAACTGCTGCGATCCATTAAGACAACATCAAGAGTTCTGTCTGAAAAATCTGAAATAAATCTTCAAGTTTTCACTCGAAAATCTCCTACACGCTCCCCGTCTTATCACTACGACCTGTGTGACACTCACATGCTTTTTTTTCTCTTCTCACACGTGTGTTTACACTCACTCACTCACTTTTATTTTCTTTCTTTCTTTCTCCTTGGGAATCTGCAAAGTCATTAATGATGAGCATTGTCTCTCCCAACCAACCCCAATTTCCATAAAAGTTGTAAACAAACACTATTTCATCAAATCTTATTCCTTCCCCTTGGATGGAAACACTCTAAATTTAATTTTAAAACTCACCACCACCCACTAATTTAATACCATCACTCCCCTTATTATATTATGTACTTTTTTTTTGGTTATACTCTACTTCCCTCGTTTTATTCAGAGCTGGATCTGTCATCATCACCTACCCACGAATAGTCACTTAGTTTTCTTCTTTTAGATGGAGATGGTAACGTTGATGACGAGAAAGAGGATTCATCACTTGGACTCGTTGACATTGATGATGCCCTTACGCTCACTCGTAGCTTTGCTATCACTCTTGGTGCTTTTCTCCGATTATTCTCTATCTCCATGGCTTTCATCAGCTTATAGCATCTCACGATCTTCTCCTGAAACATAAACACAATACATCAGTTAGGTTACTAGCTAGAACAAATGGTTAGTGTGGAGATATAACAAGACAAGTCCTACTTTGCTCAATCCGTCACACCAAGTCTCAGGGCTTTCGTGTGGATTCGCAACAGAGGATAGAGAAGGGAGCTCGTTGGCTACACATAGAATCGCAGCTGCAGCAATGCTCGATGGCCAGTACTCAAGA